AAAAAAAAAAAAAAAAAAAAAAAAAAAAAAAAAATATGCGACAAAAGTTTGGAGTGATGATGATCAGTAAAAACGGGATGAACCACGTGGCAGAAAAAAAAAAAAAAAAAAGAAGAAAAGACTTGACTCAAATGACACACAAATATAATGTTTCCTTTTTTTTTTGTTACACTTCTCCCAAGGGGTATACATTCGATGACTGTGCGTACGTGTTAACGTGGAAAAAATATATATGACTCACATTTGTTTATATAAGTAAAGGACGTGTACAAATGTGCATGTATATACGCAGAAATGTACACACGGCCATTCTCATTTCCTGCCTTCCACTCATATAAAAAAAAAAAAAATAAAATAAAAAAAAAATAGCTGCACGGGTGCCCCAGCGGGAATAAAACACATGGACGATTTAATTCTTCCCTTGCCGTGGAAGTACACGTTCCAAAATTTTGTTAATTCAAAAAAAAATTAGATAAAATAAAAAAACAAAAAAAGGGCGTGAAGGCAGTATGGGGCAGGGGTTGTATCGCTGGGGTCTTATTTACAATGTGCAAGGTGGATAAACGTGCATGCGTGGGCGTGGGGACATATGACTGTAGTATTTGCCGTATGTCCGTTTGGCCGCAACTCTGCAAGTCACTATGACCATGTGGACACGCCAACGTATGCGCGCAGGCAAATCCGTACGCCCTTATATGCATAAACGTATCATACTCACACGTACGTACATGTACTCACGCGCTCGTGAATGCGTAAGCACGCTCAAATGAAGATACAGTTAACTCATTTAAAACAGTGTAAACGTATGCAAAAAATATGCGGCGCCAACACGTTCGGATGAGAACTGAGGGGGGGAGGGGAAAAGGGACAAAGGAGTCATTACATATATACACGTGTCAAACTCGGCGAGCAGCGTGAAAAACCCGCAGTATGGGAAATTGATTATTTCTCACGTATGAGTTATAACAATGTAGGAAAATGAAACGCAGTCTCAAACCAAGTGAAGCATAAATCAGTTAAATACGCTGGTTTTTTTTTTCTCCTGTTATTTTAAAAAATAACCAACTGAGCAAAACATAACATTACAAAATGTTTCTACATTCACATATGCAACTGCGAATATGTTCACGCAAATGTTCATGCGATTGTTTTCTCTATTAAAAAAGAAAAAAATGCTCCTCAAAGCACAAAAATGGGAACAGAGAAAAGCAACTGGGGAAAAGGAAAAAAAAAAAAAACATACCAAATGGAGCAAAAGAACCAACATGGTACATTATATTAGCCGCATGTTACGTTGCAGGAGCAGTTTTTTTTTTTTTTTTTTTTTTTTTTCAAGACGATATGCATGCAGATAAAGCAGCATGTTTTCAATTTTTCCTGATCGCTCAATTTTTTATAATTCGTCCTTTACGAAAACAGGTCATACTTTTCTCGTATGTTCATTCATATCCCAAATGTTCAATATTGGTGCGAACGACGCAGCTCACGTGCAAAGAATGAGCAGCAAAGGTGAAAGTTGGTTTCGCTGTTGACACAAAATTGGATGGAACACATGCCCCTTTTTTATTTTGGGGGGCGTTGTGTTTCCCTTTTGTTATGTTATATGCTATGCTGTGCTACGTTTACGTAGGACGTCGGGAAGGTCTTTCGCTCAGTTCCAAGAGGAAGTGTGTCACTTGTTGGGGTTAACTGGGTCGTCATGGTTGACGTACAAATTGAAGCGGACATGGCGTACCTTTTGGCCTACAATTTTAAATGAGCAATTTTCACGGTTGCCCTTTTTTTTTTTTTTAGCTATACCAATTACACCACGTGGATAATTGTGCGCGCTATACAATTTCCTGTGCCGAGTGAACTAAACAAATTTCTTGACCCCCCCTGTGTTACCACCACGTCGCATAATCCTACGTACCGCACATACGACAGGCGGGACAACCTACTCCTACATCATGATGCCACACCTGACCCCAACGTAGGAATCTTGTCACACTAAAAAGTATCCCTTTTGTATGCGCAATTTAAACGGGCATATGCAGAACAGGTTTTATTTGCCTTCCAACAAACGCAGGGGTTTTAAAGGGTCAAATGCTAAATCGTATGCCTCCCATTTTGTTCTCTCAAAGGGACATATTAAAAAAAAAAATGACCATCCCGTACATACGCAGGTCAAATCTAATTTGCATGCGCACTTCATCATGCGTTTTCGTCTCGTCGGAAAAGGGGTGACCGCATATAGAAGTAGCCCAGAGGTGGCAGTAACAAGTGGTTCAGAGTTGTTCTTACACAATGGCCATCAGACAGGTAGCCAACAGATCGAAGCAAACTCTCGCGCAGGGGTTAGCCACACACCATCCCGAATCCCCCGCAAAGCGCACTGAGCACTGTACATATTCACAAAAAGTACAGCTCTACAAATTGTTGCCTTATTTTGCACTTCGCTGAAAACCGCGCGCAATCGGTGCTCTAAGGTACACACATGTACCACTCCCTCGTAGGGGGATCTCGTATTCACGCATTCGAAAAAATTAACCATTGAACGATTAAAAAAAGTCGATTGTGTGTGCCGTTGGGAAAGTCCATTATTAATATACACATGAGATTAAGCATGCATGTTTGGGGTTGTAAAGCATCTGGCGCGCCCCTTCAAAAAAAAAAGGGACAACAATTAACCTGAACAAGGAACCCCTAAAATTGTACGTACGACACGGATGTACGCACAGACACACATACATATGCACATTATTTAATTATGTTTGTTGAAAAAAAAAAAAACTACCACATTGATGTAATGAAAATAATTTGTTATTGTATGCAGCGCATATGGATGGGCTGTGTTGGGTGCAATGCACATGAAGGGAAAAAAAAAAAAAAAAAAAAAAAAAAAAAAAAAAGCAGGTCATGGTGCCGAATTACCTACAGCCGCATTTTAACACAGCAGAATGACACCAAGCTGATTTGTAAAAAAAAATGTCGTAATGCACGAAGAGTTACCAGTGCGTTTTCATTTGTTCTCCTCCTCGCCGCTTCTTACGAACCACTGGCAGTGGAATTTGCCTTATCTACACACACCTTCTTGGAAACAGCCCACTTGTCGTTGTTCGCATTGTCCTCGTAATAACTATCCTGTAAATCTCTCCTGGAGGCAGAATCATCGCATGCCTTTCTGCCCTTTCGTCTTCCTTTCGTGTTTCTTTTATTCGTTTGCTTCTTCGCTTTCACGCTCACACTTCTGCTCCTGCTTCGGCTTCCACCATAACGATCTCCCTCACCATCCTTCAAACCATCATCTACATTCTGCTCGATCTTATCTCTCACATTCGTAGAATCGATAACACTTCCGTCCTCGTCGCTCTTGTACATATTTTCATCCTCATCGTCTCCTCGTGTGCTCAGCTCTCTGTCGTTTTTAATGGCCTCCTCTCTTTCCTTATCCACAGAGTACTCATCTTCCTTGTCTTTTCCTTTCACAGAACTTCCCTGATCGTCTAATACACGTTCTGCACTTTCGCTTCTGTCATTTTTGTTGCTCCTGCCCTGTTTAGTGCTGGCCGTGGACTCCGCTCCTCCACTTTTGTACCTATCCTTCATGATGCTTCCGCTGCGGCCACTACTACCACTTTTCCTAGACAACCTGTCCTCCTCGCGCAAATTGTCCTCCCTATCCTCCTTGCTGTTGCCTCTTCTGCCACTTAACTGACTGCGCCTGTCCATATCATTACCGTCGTCCCTTCCATCCCTCTTTCCTCCATCTACTCCATCGTCTCTGTCCTTATCTTGTGAGCTACCCCTTCTCCTATCGCTGTTCATGCTTCCCCTTCGGTGGTCTCTGTCCCTGTCTGATTTGTCATGTTCCCCGTGCTCCTTTTCGTCTCTGCCAAATGTGTTCCTCTCACGCCTGTCATCCCTGTCGTCTCTATCCCGCCTGTCGTCTTCATCCCGCCTGTCATCTCTATCGCGCCTGTCGTCTTCATCCCGCCTGTCATCTCCATCCCGCCTGTCATCTCCATCCCGCCTATCATGGGGCCTTTCAGAAAAACGCTCCCTCCTGTAGCCCTCCCTGTCCGCATCATACCCATCTCGATGATGCGTCCTATCCTTGTCACCAGAATAGTTGTGATGGAAATTACCGTCCCTTTTATCTTCACCCCTATTTTTGAATTTTAAATTTAGAGCTGAATCAACAAATTTCATAACTTCCACAGAAACACCATTAAACTTACGACCATTTAAAACTTCCACTGCCTTCTTCACATGTTCATAATTGTAATATTCTATTATGCCAAACCTTTCCTTATTATCGTCCTGAATAATATTTGCATAATTAACTGAACCTATATCCCTTCCAAAATCTTTCAGGTCCTGCCAGCTAGCTTTTTCATGTACATTTTTTACTACAATTCGTAAGGAATTTTTTTTCTCTCTGTTTTCATTTCGTTTGGGGGAATAGTTCCTGCCGTATGGAGGGGGGGGATAATAATTTCGGTTGTCACTTGTATTTTCATTTCTGTTGTCAATTCGGTTGTCATATCTATTATCATTTCGGTTGTTAAAATAATTGCCTGCATGATGTGGTTGCACATTTAACTCTTCTCCAAAAAATATTTTTCCATTTTCTTCCCTTATTGCCACCTCTGCATGGGATATTTTTTCATACTCTATAAATGCAAATCTCGTTTTCCATTGCATATTTACAATATCACCATACTTTAAAAATTTCCGCCTCACATCTTCTTCTCTCGCTTCGGGGGATATATTCCCTACGAAGATTTTACATGGGTCTGCTTTTTTATAAAAATAATTCCTCATCTCTCTTGGTCGTTCTCTTCTCATCATCCCAATATTGTTACCCATTCGGTACGCATCATTTTCGTACATGTATCTTTGTCTTTCTGCACCTGGCGAATATTTTCTCATATTCATTCTTTCGTCGCGACCTTCTCGGTACTCATACGTGTTGCTGTTGTGTGGACCACCTGGGTAGTGCCCATGTGGGGGGCGATCATATGCGGGGCGATCACGAGGAGGGCGATCATATGCAGGACGGTCATGTGGCGGACGATCATATGGAGGACGCTCATGAGGACATCTTTCATGTGGGGGACGGTCATATGGGGGACGGTCATATGGGGCACGATCATATGGGGCACGATCATATGGGGCACGCTCATGCGGATAACGCTCATGAGAATAACGCTCATGCTCGTAGTGCCCTCCGTTCTTGCTGTCCCACTTGCTGCCGCCTTCCTTCTCGTACTTGTACTTATCACCACGCCTCCTATCCCCATTTCGATCGTCATACACAACACCGTTTCTATTCCTCTCTTTAGAAAAGTTTCTCTTTGGAGACTTGTTGTGATATTTGTCTCGTGGCAACTTATGGTGATGTGGACTACGGCTGCGTGTGCGGCTCAGGCTGTGTCCTCCTCGATTGCCCTCATATCCATTTTCGCGGTGGTGCTGGCGTTGTGCATGCTGGTGATAGTCTCTCCTGTCTCTGGAATAATTTCGACCCCTTTCTACATGGGAGGCTTCATTTCGTTTGGTGTAATTATCAACGGAAGACTTCCTATAACCACCATGGTTATGCTCATTCTTGTGATGGTATCTGCCTCCTGCATTCATCCTTTCCCGACTCCTGGATCCATACTTCCTGCTTTCCTCCATGTAGTAAGCCTCCTTATTATCTTTCATAGGTAAAATTTACTCTTTCAGGTTATTGCAATTGTGCCTTCTTTCTCCTCCTGTGTCTATCTCTTTGTGATAGTACTTGTCGGTTGCTCGTTCAAGTGTGTTTGGCTTTGCCGCAGGACACGGAGGGAGGGGGAAAAAAATAAAGTAAAATAATAAACGATTCTATATATGCGATCTCAGCTTCAACAAGCACAACAACTACTCTACACCTGCGTGTAGCTGTAGCTATGTGACTTTCCAATGGAACGTAAAACGTGGGGGACACACTACTTAATGCGACACACGCTTCTTTGCTCGTCTATCCCGCGAGAACTACACAACCAATTGGGTTGAAAAGAAAGAAAAAAAAAATCTTCTTCTATTTTCACCAAGCATAAAATTGTCAATATATAATACGCTACGCATGTAACAAATAACACATGCGTGAAACCTCAGGCCATCTTTTTTTTTTTTTTTTCACACTCTTGCACAATCTACAAAGGGTACTGTACGTACTTTGTTTCTTCGCTTATCTTGCTTCAATTTTAATTTTTATTTTTTTCACAAGGCGAATTTATCTTATGGCCAAAAAAAAAAAAATTGCTAAACATTTGTATAAAAAAAAAGCTATGGCAATGTGAACGCGAAAGCGAAAGTGATAGTGAGAGAAAATAAAAAAATTATAAAGCTTGCAAAACTAGCAGCTGAATTGAAAATGTGAATTCTGTTTCTGTTCGTATGTGCTTATTCCAAATGAGAAGGAAAAGAATAACACAAAAAATGGAATGAAAAAGTGAAAAATGTTAAGCGCACAATGTTATGTATGATTTATATAAAAGAAAAAAAAAAAAAAAAAGGGGGCCAATCTTCGCTGCGCACGTTTTTCTTATGCCTATATTCTGGTGTATTACAATAAATAAAAATGATGTGCCCCATAAAAAAAAGGAAAGAAATGACAATCCCCCTTGGCTATAAAATAATGCCTCTTATGAAGGCGGTACGCATATGGCTCACTTTTTATTTTGCATATAAAAAATTATCCTCTATGCATATCATGCATACATCCAATTTTGTTTGCATACACCTATTGGGGCTTATAAATATATGTTCCTTTAGCGTTTCTTCGGGACGTGCAAAATGCATACGATCGACCACCTCACATGAATACTTCAACTCGTGCCGTTTCCTGTTCGTGTGAATTATGCTTTTGGGGGCGGTGTTATTTTTTTATCCCGCTTAACACTTCTTTATTTAGGAAATTTTGCTAATTATATAACCCCAATTTTACCAATTTGGCCCTTCTCCATTCCATGTTGATTGGCCATTAAATCACCATCATAGCCTGTTGGACGCACCTAACCTGCCGCAGCTTCCTCACCCTTATGCTGCTGTTAAACTTTTTGTACTGACAGCGTTCCACAGTTTACACTTCACGTACCCCTTTTTTTTTTTTTTTTTTTTGGTGCTCTTAAAATATGGTAGCAAATAGTAGGCATATTTATATATATATGTGCACAATAACTCGACGTCCCCAGGCGCAAAATCCTTTTTTTCATTTCTTATTTCGTACTAGTGGTCACGAAAATGTGCTATGCAATCATATGCACGTTTCTACATATTATACATGCGCTACATAATATGAATGTTTATTTTGCCGTTGACTCATTTCGCTTTTTTTTTTTTGTTTTTTTCATTTCTGCCTTTTCGGGGGAAGCTTAATAATGGGTGAAAACTACAAACAGATGTACACGTCTCCACAGCTTCATAAAACAAAACGCAAATAATCATTCCCCTCACGTTCGTTCTGTATCGTTCCACTTTATTATTCCACTTAGCAGGGCATAAAAAATAGTGTGAGTCCATTCTTCTGGTTATATTTTTTCCAAAACACCTCATACGCCACACACTAGTATGTTCATATAATGTGTGCTTTGTTAGACGTTGCAGTAAATTTCTTTCCTCTACATTTTTAAAGCAAACAATATGTTTAAAAAAGGTACGATAAAAATAGTGTAGCCACAAACTGTTCCTCGCAAAAGTGTACTACATATAAGTATATACACACATATATAATATGCCACATGAACGAGGACCAAATAATCCCATTTTGTTACTGCCATTTTGCTACTGCCCTTGTTGAACGTTTTGATATTTTTGAAATTTGCACAAATGTACAGTCACATTTTAACGCGTTTCACGAGGAACTGTAACCACGTGTGTAACGGACACATAAGTCCACCTACCCACGTAGGAATACTTTCTTTTCTTGTGTGCATACGTATATAGACTGAAATCGTTGTTCTCAACAATATATCATTTGTAGGCCTCCAATATATTTACTTTTGTGCCCTTTTACAAATCCAAAATTGTTAATAAAAAAAAAAAAAAAAAAATGCTATGTTTCTCCCTTATGATAACAATTTTCATTCCTTTTTGAAACATTTCGAAAGTGTGATAATTTTACAAAAAAAAAAAAAAAAAAAAAAACTAAACAAATTTGCACATAAAAAAGTTGTAGAAAATCTGTTGCGTTGATTTATTATTCGGACCGCACTGACTTTAAATAATAAGTAGCTCCTTAATAAGTACAAAAAAAAAAAAAAGAAGAAATAATGATATTATAATGGCCATATAAGAGCATCGTGACAGCGTCATAATTACAGCATAACCAAGTGACGGGAATATTACAAAAGAAACAAAATAACAAATCAAATTACTTTCCAATAACCCCACGTGTATTTTCTCAAAAATGTTGCTAATGGGCAAGATCAATCGGATGGAAGGAAAAAAAAAAAATTTCTATATATGTGATCCATTCGATAACCTCAATATATGGTCCTATATATGGGATAACAAATTTTCCTTATGAACCATCCTGGCAACCATTTCTTGTGCACTGCGGGCACCATGTCATCTGATTTCACTGGAAAAGGTAAATAAACAAAAATAACATCACCCAAATCGTCCCCCAAATGTGTACACATTCGCCTACTGCTATATTACACTATTATTACAACTGTATGTTATTTCTCCCGTGGTGTGAAAGTGCTCCGTGTGCACTCTTGTGCTGGGTCCAGTTCTTTCTCCATGACTTTTTTTTTTCAAGAATTCCCTTCCCCAGCCTTAGTCAAATAATTCTCAAGTTCATAAATTTTGATATCCAAAAATTTATCCATTTCTGTTAAATTGTTATACTGATTTTCGTACTCCTTCATTTCTATTAACAGCTTGCTTAAAATATCCTTTAGGGAGTTAAATTTTAAGCTTACATTCAGCTGATTTTCAAAATCTTCTGTTCCTAAGCATGTGTTCAGATTAATGTATTCCAAATTGTAGTTGGCATGGACACTTTGTAGCTTATTATTTAAATCTTGTTTTATGAGCTCATTCCTTCTGTACTTGATTTTGTCATTTATTTGAATTTCTTCCGCCACATTTTCAAAAGATTGCTTTAAAAAATTTAAAAAATTGTTTCCATATTGATTTAAAATATCTTCATACTTAACATCCTTCACCTCTTTTAATTTTTCCAAAATGTTGGAAGCGTTATATTTTTGTTCAAACTTTATGTTTTCAGTTCTCATTAATTTTTTCAACAAAATGATGTTCTCTTCGTATTTTTTCTCTTCTTCTATTTCTTCTGCTTTTTTTTCTGATGTTATATCCGAAAATAAAAAATTCCAAATGAACTTCAACTCCTCAACGGTCGACATGTTTGTTTTTGTGGATGGAGGAAGAAAAAAAAAAAAGTGTGCGTGAACAAGCGCGGCAATTCTCAATTGTGCATATCTCCTTATTGGCACTTTTCTTTGCTATTGGAACATTCCTTACTTGTTCTCTCTTTTCGTCGCATTCGTTTGTTCCTTGTTTTCCTCTCTGTTGTTTTTAAAATTTTCAAAGAACTTGCAAAAATGTTAAAATATTAATTCGGCAAAGCGGACTTTTTCGAAGGCAAATTTTGCCGCATGCACTTGCGCGCTGCGCGTTATATGCTATGCATATGTAGGCATATAATAAATGGCAGAGTATGCAAATCACGTCGTGCGCGTATAGACGGAATACACCACATAAAATGATTTCCTATCCACATAACATCTCCGTTTTGGATCACTTTACGCGCACGATGAATCCGAATTCATCCACAAAAGCACGTTTGCGCGTTTCGCAGTGATACAAGCAAAAAGAAAGGTGTAATTTTCCTTTCGTGCGCAGAGTTTTCAAATTCAAGCATTCATACGTTCGTGCGTCTCGAAAATGGCAAAACAGTCATTCACAGAATTGTGGCAATTTTGCCAAACGAGAGAAAAGCTTAGTGGAGAATTTTCCAAATGGACCATTCGGTATTTTTGTTCATATCTTTTTACGTAAATTTGGTCATAATTTTTTTTTTTTTTTTTTTTCTTTTCTGTACACATATTATATGTACACGCACGACGTTTCATCTGAACGGCACAAAAATATTTTTGCCTCGGGCTAAGTGGCAAAATAAAATACTCACTGATACGGTTAATCATCTTGTTTTTTTATCGTGTGCAAGGTTTTGCTTCTTTTAACTTCTTCGGTACGACAAAAAGCCAACTTTTTCGCAGTTCATCTCGCGCTAGTATTGTATAATGCATTCTGTTGGAAAAAATATTTAAACTGATGGGATATGTAGCGAGCGCTCAACAGGTACCTCCAGAAGGTTTGAAATGAGTCTTCTGCTAACGGAGTTACACAGTCCGCTTTGTAAAAGGGAAAATTGCCGAATGTCATTTTATTCCTGCAGCTTATACCACGTGGGCGCCCGCGCTCACCAATGCCAAGCTCGGCATGTACCGCAAGAATATAGCAAGCATATAGCAAGCATATCACACGCATGTCACAAACATAAGTCAAACGCGTTTAATTAAAATAAACAGTAATTTTATCTTAAACACATTTTCCCACTGTGCCCATTTGTTTACATACCCTGAGTATGCCCACGTTGGCACTGCACCTTTGCACACAAAATGGCTATTTTTTTTTTTTCTTAACCATGTTGTAAAGTCATATGAACGGTTAATACTTTTTTTTTTTTTTTTTTGCGCTCCAAAGTAGCACTTTTGTGTGGCGTTGTTCTGAGAAGACCTGTGCGATTTATCTGCAGTTCCTTTTCCCATGTGTGTGCAGCAAAAGAGTAGTTATGATGAACTGAGTTCACTCCGCAGACGTTCTTAAGTTTGAGTGTTCACATCCTCGTGTACCCCGTCCATATCAGCCCCTGTCGCAACCCCTGCTTGCGCACACTCTGGTACAGTCCTCCACAGCTAGCAGTGACAACAGGATATGTACTGCACTTATTCAAAATGGCAACTCCCCCGTGTATGCCAAGTGTAGTCGCGCTTCAAATGCATATGTACGTTGGGCATTGTCCAACCATAGTAATGGAAAAATAATTCCTCGTATGATGGCCTACTGCCGTGGGCACATATGCACCCCTCATGTCCAAATTCGCACAAAAATTAATTTTTGGTCATGTCATATGTTTTTTAGCGATGCTGCACCATACTGTGGTGCTGTTAACAGTCGTACAATTCTGCAAAAAAAGGAAAACAATGTCTACAATCACGCATTAGCAAGTTTTAAGTTACTACCTAACATTCGTGTGTGCACATGGGTACGAAACTCCCAGTGTATTTTTTCCCTTTTTTCCATTTTTCGAAAACGCAAAGTGACAACCTTTCTGAACCAAAAAAAAAAAAAAAATACCTGTACCATAGTATAAGGTGCAGCATGCGGGTACCTGTCTACCCCTATAGGGACGTCCTCCCATTTGCGATCCAACTCCCGACATCGCAATACGGCACGCTAAGAAGCAAAGTGCCTACGCTGGACATAGTTCCTTCCTGGATGAGATAAATCCTCTTTCCTACGACAACAACCTTTATTGTATGACTCGTCCGGTTGTGATATTTTTCCCCTTGTACGCTTTTACCGTTTGGTCTTTTTTGCCCACCTTTTTCGAAAATGCTGAAATACTTCACGAAGGAGCACTACTCCTATTTATCGAGCACCAAGCGGATGTCTTTCCGCGTTGAGGAGGACATTAAGACGAGGTATCAACTGAGGGAAGCAGGCATATAGTGGTGTAGCAGCACGGCATGGCTTCACACCAGGGGGGAATTGACTCATTACTTAAACGTAAAAGGGGGAAGCTCAAGGGAAATGTGCTACGCGTGGGTAACTCCCTTTTGAATGCTCAAAAAGTGGAGGAGACACACCCATAATGTGCCACGTTCGCGATACTCCTCGACGTCCCGCGTATAATACCACTGATTAGTTGCTTTTCTTACCTATATCACTTCTCTCCTCGTGTGAATCTCCCCCGTCCCTTTTTTTTTCCCCTCCAAAGGACGACATTCGTCAACAGGGAGGACCTGAAGCACGTGTTCGTGCTGGACTCGCAGGACACAACGGCCGGATTGTGCCTTCTAAACATCTCGTTGTTCCTCCTAGGTGGATTATCCAAAGAAAAAAGCAAAGCAGACCTAGCGACGAATCTACAAGGAGGTCTTTTCATTATAAGTTTGATTATCTTTTCGATACAAAAAATTCTGGCGAGATGTATCTTGTCGGATGTGACGTTCGCCCTTCTACTGTACATCTCGTGTGTGTTGCCATTCCTCCTTCTAGAACTCGATGGCTGTTTTAACAACATTGTCTTCTTCCCTATATGTGTCATGTTCTACTTCACTAGGTACCACCTAAGAACATTATTCATCCTCGACTCCTTTCTCATTCTTACCATCCTAGTAATAAACGTATCCATAAACTCCAGCACCATCGATATTTATATTTTTCTTTTTTTGTTAACTGCTCTCTTTTTTAGTATGATCTATTATCGCTACTTGTACTACTTTTCTAGAGCCCTTTCTAACTCTGTAGCTAAACCAAAAAACATGATTTTAATGTTCCCCTACATAAATGAATACCACCAAGTCTGTTTTGTCAAGCTAGCTGATGTCCTCCTGGACTTAAACAATTACATGCACATAAAGTGGAATATCTTCTGTAGAAACATACCAAAATTTTATATAAAAAATGAAAAGGATTTTCAGAGTGCACAAATTGTAGCTGGCAGATTGGCAAATAAATTCTTTACTCTTAAAAACCAAAAATTATTTTCCACTTATCCTCCATATTACTGTCTAAAAGTTTTTTATCACAAAAAATTGTACCTAATTATTTCTGCTATTGAGAGGAAGAGAAAACAGATTGGAAAACTTCACTCGAATCAGAAGAGAAATAACTTTGTATTCTTAATGGAGATGGTCAAACTTCACTGGGGGACTACCACGCTTGTTCAGGAGAACTACCGCCATTCGGGGACACATCCGCACCAGCCAGAAAAAAGGACATCTAAAAGGGGTAAAAATAAAAAACAAACAAAAAACACCATCCGTGAGGAAGCGCAAAGGGGAACAGAACGGAACAGTCGCAGAAAGCATAATTCACGTGTACATCCTGTTCCTTTGAAACAAGTGGAGGAAGACAACATCAACCAAAAAGGAACAGCAGACGTGCGGCAAGCAAGCGAACAAACGAGGGGAGTCAAACGGGAAAAGGGAGCAACCTCAACGGATGAACATCCCTCTCGAGTTTACAACAAGGATAGGGACACACACAAAAAAGAACAGGCAATGAAGCGAGCAAAAAGTGGACCAAGGAGCAACGAGCAAAAATGCCACCCACAAAACGACGCTCCACGGAATCATCACAAAGGGACCAAAAATGAGGACAACAAAAAACGAAACAGTTTGAAGAACAATTCTGTAAATAATAGTTCAACCCCGTTTATGAAAAGGCCCGAGAAAAATAGTAGCCATTTGGGGGAAACTACACATAGTAGGATAGACAGGCTTCAAATCGAATCCCCAATTGACAATCTGCTCAGCATAAGCGACAATAATAAGAAAGCAACAAGGGGTTACAGACTTGGCAATAAAAATGATGTACTTGGTGAAGAATTTTTTGAGTCCAAATATGAAGCACGTGAGGGGGAAAAACCTAAGCAACCCAGAGCAAACTCACCCCACCAAAATACTAACGCCTTTAAAAAAAACCCGAACGAAACTACAGATAGAAGAAGCACATACGCCGATGGGAACAAATATAATAAGAACCCCAAAAACGACATACAGGGAAAAAGGCTGAAAAACAAATTTGCACACCCGAACAAACATGGCCTTCAATTCTTCACCAAAATGAAGAAAAAAATGCCGCATCAAATATCTGACCATGGTAGCGCGCATGAGGCAAGCCAAAAAGGGGAACGTGTTAGCCCAAATGTAGACCATAACCAGTGGGGGGATAACCCTAATGGAGCTCCCCTTCACGGACACACAAGCGACGTCGATTCACAAGTCCAAACAAACTTAAATTCTTACATGAACGATAAAATGAAAGCTGCCCCCAACACGCAAAGCAACTACATGTACATGTACATGTGCAGGCAAGACAACAGTGCCAAAGAACAAACAAGTGGGCATTACTCAACTGAAGACACGCGAAAAAAAAAGAAAAAATCGGAAGGAAAATTTTCCTCATTCAAATATCATCATGACTGGAGCTTGCTATCGGACGAGAAAATAATTTTCGTTAATTTCTCCTGCCTCTTCTATGTGTTCATTCACAAAATTAAATGGTTGTTAAAATATATAGAACAAGTGAACTCTGTTGTTCAGGGGGGCTACTTCCGACAGGGAATCTCACCAAAGAGGGATCATCTGTTAGCTTTTCTGGACCAGAAGGTCGAACGATACTACCTACTTTGGTCCAATTCCTTTGACTTGGTTTACCACGTGGAGAATTACATCCCGCACATTTTGCTCATCCTCACTCTGCATCTTTCCTCCGTGTTCATACGAGTCGCCCCCCTGCAGCTCAGCGGCTCCTACTCCCTGGTAAGCTTGGCGATGTATCCTTCCCGCAGCCGTGGCTGTGGTAAAAGCGCCACAGAGATGATCAACGCGCTCGACTAAGTATGCACATAAGTTCATTACCATGTGTACACTTCTTTCTTCACTTGTTCACTTACTTGTGCCTTTTTTCCCCTCTTCTTGCGCATGCCGCCTTCCCAGTTCCGCATGGCAAGTTTCTGGACCATTTTCGTCGCTAGATTTCTGCTGGCCCCCATCCTTTTCGCCCTCATCTTTTGGCCGATAATCAAAACCAGATCAGTGAACCCCAGGAATATTTTCAAAATTAAAATGCGTTTTTTTCTCCTGTCCCTTTTTATGTAACGAGAATGAACATTTCTCCCCTGGGTGGGTAGAAGCCCGCCGAGGGTCACAAGCGCGCCCGTACACATACGCGTACAAATCTGTGTACACATATCTGAACACATCCGCGTAGACACCTACGATGGCACATCCCGATGTATTCACTAACAAGGGCGTCCCCCCTCCCCCCTCTTGGCAGCCTGACGCTGTCTATCCTGGACTATTTGTGGACGATACTTCTCGTACAGAAGAATTTCTGGAAGCTGCATGGCGCTGTCCTGCTGGAGCTTCAAAAAACGTACAGGTGAAGCCCACCCCCAGATGAATGCACTACAGTTCATATTTTCGCTTCGTCAATGGTGTATATTTCCCCTACCTAAACTGTTCATATTTGTTTACCCCCCGTCACTCACTCTCCCACCAGATGCAGTATGTTTTCCCTAGCGGAGTTAATTTTCATCGCTCCAGTCGTGTACTTCCTCATCATGCATCGATTAAAGTCTCTCTGGTACCTGTACATCATTTGGCTGTTCTTAATAAATGTTATATATTGGAGTTGTATTGGAACCTTCCTCCCAGGCCTAAGGATGAATATTTCCCTCGCGACTTCAGTTGTGATGTGCGTCCTTTTTATTATTAGGTATGCATCCGGTAATTATTGTCGAGGTGCCCATATTTGTGTCTTCCATTTTTTTTTTTTTTTTTTTTTCTCCTACAACGCCGCTGTCCATACGCCTCGTCCCATACACGAATCAATTCTACCGACTCATGCGCGTCTCCCCCATTTTGCAGACCCTTCGAGATGGTCAAGAGGGACATATTTTGCAGGTGTGTCCTGCCTTACATTTTATTCCTGGACGACGTATTACGCACCCTCGACTGCGATAAGAGGCTCAAATATTTGCGCTTACCAAAGATGGGGCAATGAAGAGGGTTCCACGGCGAACTACTCACCACTCTGCAAAACTGAGCAGCGTGTTCCACGGACAGGTCACCCCTGCCCCCTTGGCGCCACTATACATACAGCAGAAAGAGCCTTTTTTTCTTCTTAAAATGAAGAGTACACAATTTACAAACAAATCAACAAAAAGGGGGACGACGTTATTAAGTAAAAATTGAAAAAGGACACCAAAAAAAAAAAAAAAAAAAAAAAAAAAAAAAAAAAAAAAAAAAAAAAAAAAAAAAATGAAATATGGAATATGGAATATGGAATGAATGAACGGGAGATGAACTACCAAATTGAGTCACACATCACGGTAACGATGACAATTCCACAGCGATGAAACACATCAGAGAAATATAAAAACAGGATTAATTTATTCAGAACGGTCATGGGCAGGTGTAGAAATTTTAAGTTAGCCAAGTAAACTGGGGTCATTGGGTAAGTTGCCCAAAATAGCCGTCTTATAAAGAGGCTTAGAATTGAACAAGGCATGTACATTTGCATCAATGGCACATTTACATGAAAATATTAATTCATACTTTTTCTCATTATGTACCTTCCTAAACTCGTTTGAGATGTACAGATCGTCGAGTCTAATGGAAAAATACAACCTATTGAACCGCTTGCAGTCGTTATATAATGGCTGTACTTCGCTTATGTGCATATCTGTTAGTTTGTAACCCAGGTGTAAAGGTACAGTGTGGATAACGCTTGAGGGGGTCAGCATGGAATATTTTACTCTAATCTGTATGGTGTGTGTGGGGGGGAAACATGTTGAGATGCGCGACCGATATTACTCTACATGGATCACTTTACCGCGTAATATAAATTGTTTCATTTTTTTTTTTTTTTTTTTTTTGCCACGCCTTACGGATAACTTGGTGGGGAAGGTCTTCTCGTCCTTGTTCGGTGGCACGCTTATTTGGCTCTTCCTCGAGAGGGGCGTCTGGTTAGCTGAGCTTTCCCCCAAACCTGCAGGAGAGGGAAAAGGGAAGGGAACTCGTCACAAATACACTTACTAGCATAAAGCACTCACACAAATGTAATGACGGAGGTGGACTCACACCATATGCAAGGTGAATTAACAGAAATTCACTCCTCTTCAATACCTCCGTTGTATAAGAGACAAGCATGATTCGCTCCCACAGGGTAGTAAAAGTACTTTACACTCTCCGCAGAAAGGCTATAGGACAGTGTGGTGTTATTAGTAACGCTTAATTTTATGTTGAATTTCCCCCCAATTATTATCCTTGTATTTATGTACCGAAATTGAAACGTGTTCGCATCGTCTTCAATTATACTTATCTCGGGAGTGTATGATGTGGTCCAAAATCCTAGCAGCACTCCTGGGGAGGTTAGGGGAAAAGGGGTGATGTTACTACTGATGTTGCCAAACATGGTGTTGATGGTGATTGTGGAAATTTTTGTCATATGAAGGTGCACACAAACATACAAGTATGCTTGCACAGCTAGAGAGTCCACAGGAAGGCGGTGAATACACATGCCGCAAACCCGCTATACAGACCCCTCTCCCTTGAGGACGCTGCTAACCTCCTACAAAGCATGCCATAAAAAGCAGCGTCAGGTAGACCATATGAAAAAATACAATTTTCTTGTTCACGTTATTTTTCTCCGATAGCTCATTTTGGTAACACCTCTTTTTCTTGTGCGGCACTTCGCCTTCCATGCGTGCGAGCGGATAATGTGGGAGTTGGGAGGTGTGGTGAGGGGGTCAACAAAACGGGCAGTGCCTTTGACGGGGTAGCAGAGGCGCTTGATCTGCTATATGGCCTGGTAGATGCTCTGTTGTCTCGTCTGCTAGGTCGAGTGTCTCGCCGACGCAGCGATCCAGAAGGGGTACGGTAAGAGCAGCCAGGGGGAACAATGTCTCCGCGCGTACCCATTAAGTCGCGCCAGGGATACGGCAAATGTACGCAAGGGAGGTACACAAAAATGGTACAAAAAAATGGTACTTAAAAATGATACATAAAATGGTACACGAAAATGTGCGCCAAAATATGAGGGAAATGACCAAGGTACCACAGATTCAAAGCAAGAGCTTCTATGCGCACATGCAAATTTTTACACGGACGCATTTAAACCGTTGATTGCGCCCTCACAAAAAAAGCCATACAGAGGGCACGCTTCAAAGCAGGGATAAGTTATACGCATACGTAGGTAAAGGTACTTCAACAATTTACAAAAAAATGTACAGACAAATGCAACGCTCGACACATGGAAGCGAGTGCTATTCGTGTGGCGTTACATACACACGTCCCCGTTATTGCCGCTTACCTATAAATCTCCGAACCACATAGCTCAACAGCAAAATGGGCAACTCTCTTCAAACATCATGAAGAAACGAAGGGAAAAGGATGAAAAAAAAAAAAAAAAAAAAATTACTACAGAAAAAATAGAATAAGTATTACACTTCCTCTTTATGAACAAACATGAGAGTCACGCTCTTTTTCATTTCCTTTTCAACATTAAAAAAAAAAAAAAAAATTTCTCTACTAATTAGTGTACCCCCGTTCTTATAACGGAATAGTGTATTCGCTCTTTGCAATTTTTATTTTTTTGTTGTTTTGTTTTGATATGGAAAATTATTATTTAAAAAAAAAGAACAAACTTAAATATGAGGAGTTATTCATAACGACGTTTTTAACCCATGGAGGATCAAATCTCATTTCTAAGCTTATCGTTTGTCCCTTGGAGCGAATTGTAATCATTAGACAAACGCAACCTTTTTTCTTCAGAAACGTTTTGCATCACTCCCCCTTTACGTACTCAAATATAGTAAGAGGTAGGTCGCGCTCCACGTAGTAGAGTTCGAAAATGATGTACCTGCAACGGTGCCCCTCCTATACATGTCTGTACCGGTTGCTATCTATTTCGTGGCAGCACCCGACGTGCTGCCTTACGTGCATATAACACGCCTACACCTCCGCGCACCTGTCACTCCCTTCCACGCACCCAAGGTATATACGCCAAACAAGGCCTGACGTCCCTCTGGTGGGGGTACCATGCAAGCATATGGAACTTCCTGTCCTTCAGCCTTTTCAGACTACTCTTTTACGATAATATCAAGTACAACCTATCGATAGAAAACAGTAAAAAGGACTACCTAACAACCTTTTTCCTTCTTTATACCTCCAGTTGCTTCGCAGCTGTGATAGCATACCCACTGGACACCATCCATAATTGCATAGCACTAAATCATGAAACAGTTAAGAATAAAAAGCTCACCAACAGGGGAATTTTACTTTTCATATACGATTTGATTCTTAAAAAAAGTAAGAGCAGCGCGGAAAGGAAGTAGATGCGGAAGGGCGCACACATAAGACGCCTCTATGTGTATATATAACTCACGTCCTGTGTACCACGGGTAGCCACACGTGTATGCTTATGCATTGGGTGCGTCCCCACCCTTGTCCACACACGTTTAATACATACTCCCAATATTTTTCCCCTCCCCCACACGGCAGAAATTAAACACCTGTACGCTGGGTACAGCCTGTGCATACTAAACTTTATCCCCTATTTGCTCATCTCAATAAAGCTGAATGAAATTTTTACCAAATACTTTATCGAATTCAATTCTCACGAAAAAAATGGCGATTTCAAACAGGGAGGAGAACAAGATGCTCATACAGACATAAGTGAAGATTATCAAGGACTGTTAAAAAAAACGCCAAACGTCTTGTCCTACATTTTCCTGGGTGTACTCACCGGATACATATCACAAGTGGCCACCTACCCCCTGGAGACCATACGGAGGAAGTACCAGTACCACGTCATGTATGAAAAGAATTTTCCCCAAACATTAATGTATAGTAAAAATTGCAATGTCAGGAAGCCACAAAAATTTATCGCCAACATATCGAATGCATACAGGGGATTTTCGTTGCATACCTTTAAATTAATTCCGGAGTATTTAATATTTAGTTGTTTTTTTTACTACTGCAAGAACTATTTGCCTATATGAGGTTTATCCGTTCCCCTGCCCTCCTCATTTTTGTGGTTCCCTTTATTCTCAGTAATGTGACAATATTTGCCTGAACAGTTCATATATTTTTTTAATTTTTTTTTTTTCTGTAAATTTGGCTAGTTATAAAAAAATTGCCCCTTTTTCTACGAAACGCTTCTGTGCAAAATGTACCAGTTTGTGTCACCTGGTTCTGATTTATTCATTTCCTTTCCGCGTTTTGCGAGTTCTTCGAACCCGCAGTCTGTTTACTTATTCGTTTAGTTATTTATTTTATTTTTTTGTTTTTTGTCGTTGCTAAGTTTGCTTATGTTTTGTGCAAGTACGGCTTGTTTCCCCCCAAAAAGTGTACACACTTGAATTTTTTTTTAAAAAACCCTCCCGTCGTATTAAACTCTCCCTGTGCGAAAGAACAACATATTTATGCTCACCTCCTGCCAACGTTCCCATTTTCAAAATGGCAAAAAATTGCACAATTGCACTGGAGATATATGCGAATGCCCCATGTGCTAGGCGCCAACAGGGCAGTTACGGCGTTTAAAGTTATTCCTACATTGGGGCTCCTTCGCCTGGCACGAAAAAGGGGGAATACAAAAACGGGTAGAAAGAAGCACATAGGGATAAGCCGCTATATGTAACCCCTTAGTGAAGCTCTCCCCTTCCGTAGGTGTAAATCACGCACAATAAGGTGCACCGTGCCTGGTGAGCGGCTGGTGTGGAGATACCTACCTGTAGGTGCACGCGCACATAGGCAAACCTGTAAGGGTGCCCCATCTACATCATATTATCGTGGCCTTCACCCTTGTCCCCCTAAGATAAACCGCTCCACAATGCAGAGGGCCCTATTCCCCAAAGCGCGAATTTACCACTTCCTAAAAGTGGAGAGGAGACACGGGGGGACGTCCCTTCTGAACAGAATTGGACAGTCATTCAACCAGGAAACTTTAAAAAATGCGAAAACAAAGTTAACCGACTACGGAAGTAGTATCTCGCCAGGCCAACTGGGAAAGACAAGCAGCGGTACAGGAGGGGCGAGCGGAGGAAGTGGCATATTCCAACACTTTATTGATTTATTTAAAAAAAAAACAAACCTAACGGATAGCCCCCAAAGTAGTGACAAAAATGAAAAAAAGGAAAAGGAGTTTTTTGAACACTACGTAAAATGCTTGATGAAGTATGAAGGAATTTTTACATACCGAAAATTTCAATCATTTTTAAAAGACCTGTGTGACTATTTCAACCTCTATGGTGTGACATATAAATATAAAAAAAAAATGAATCCTCAATTGGAGAAGTTAAAGAAGCAATACGAAGTTATGAATTCATTTTTACCCTACGAGCTGGACTCGGATGATTACAAAATATTTCACGAGGAGAGCAAAAAGTACATAGCTCAGTCATGCAACGTCGATGTTAACTTCATTGATGAGTTGCTACTTTTTCATGATTCGTTAAAAACTGACAGGACGTGGTTTTATCGGAGAATTGTTTTAAAGAGGAAGCTACCTCAAAGTTTTGAGGAACGAGAAATTGAGGCTCCCTATGATAGACCCATCACAAAGACTTTTAATTATGGCATTAAAGAATCTTCATTGGAATATGAACAGTACATGCGAAAACATGGGCGAAAATTGAAATTCAAAAAATGGTTCTCGAAGAAGCACCCGTGGTTTAGGACAAACACCTCTGGAAAAAACAGATGGGCCACGCGGCCATACACGAAAAAGTTCCCCTACTTATACTACTCGCGCGTCCCTGGGCATTTGTACCTGTCCAGGAACAGGCCTCGCGTTGGATCCCAATGAGAGGGAAGCCGTTGTCAACGTGGCGTCAAAGAGATGTGTAACTGGGCGCGATTGGCACACCATGTCTGGGGGGTAACTTATGAGGGATACCCCATACGAATGACGCACCATTTTGACTGCTACCCCCTCACACAATCTTAATCAAATCACGCAGGGCGAACTCGCGCGTTGGCTCCGCCAACATCCCCAGCGCAGCGCCGCCCACAGATGAGACGTCCAAGCCGATGTTGCGCAAAATGGACGAACAGATTTGCGGCATAATGGGATACAAAAAAACGGAAACAAATTTGATGCCCTCTAGGGTCTCATAAATTATTCGATTAAAGCGGACAGAATCGTCTGTGCACTTCCAAGGCGCCTCATGGACGAAGAATTTGTTCACCTGTTTTATCAGCGTCATTAGGTTCTCCAAAAAGAGCGCAAACTCCCTATTATGAATTAGGGTTAGTAACTTGTCTTTCATTTCTGAACATTGCCTCAAAATGGGGGACTCTAAAAAATCGGGTTGGCCATCTTGTACAATATGCATATAATTATTATCCTTACAAAGGGACACAACTCGGTACAATAAATTTCCCATATTATTTCTCACAAACAGTTGGAACGACTCAAGATGTGCTTCCTTAAAATTTTTATCTTCATAAATATTAGCACAGCCAAAAAAATACAGTCTAATAATATCTGGGTCATATTTTTGCACTACATCAAATGGGCTTATCACATTGCCTATCGATTTGGACATTTTCACATTTTCGCTTTTTATCAATCCATGGCATATTATTTTTTTGGGCAATTTTAAATTAAGACTTTTCAACAGGCATATGTAAAGAACGCCGTGGAATTTCAGGATATCCTTTCCTATTACCTGTACTTGGGGGTTCCATGCTTTTTGGAAGAGGCTAGAAAGGGTGTCGCCATGTGGGGGGATGACATCAGATGGGAGCGCCTTCTCCTTGTGGCGGGAATTCTCCAAACCGACTAGGCTTAGGACATCTTCATAGGAGCAAACAAGTTCGCCGCTGTCCACTTCATCCATCTCCACTCCGTTCGAGGGAGCAGATTGTGGAGACATATTCGATTGTGCCCCGTGAGATGAGTCAATACCCAGTGAAGAATTAATAACACGGGAGTCATTTCCCCTACGCAGCTGCGTCCTCTTCACCATGTACAGCACTGAGGATACGTACGACAGGAGAGCATCGAACCAGACGTAGATGGTCCCTTTTTCTTCGCCAGGAATTTTTATTCCCCACTGTGTGTTGTACCTACTTATGCACACATCCTTCAGTTCGTGATTGACAAAATGGAGCATCTCCTTCTGTAGATAGGATGGGTAAATGACCTCTTCATTACGTTGATAAAAATCAGTTAAAAAATTTTTAAATTTTAAAATGTTAAAAAAGTAGCTATTGTCTTCCTCAATGTACACAACATTGGGGTCGTTTTTTTTCTTCTGTTTTAATTCAAATTCGTTTAGATATTTTTCTTCATTTATATCATAGTACCCTTTATAAGTTCCTTTGTATATGTAGCCATTCTCGGCTAAATATTTCCAAACCTGTTGCACAAAGCTTTTATGAAATTGGCTAGTTGTCCTATAAAATATATTAACATGTACATGTAATTTTTGGTTCATCATTTTGTAATAGCTATTCATATTGTTCACATGTTCGGAGGTGGAAATTTTTAGCATCTCAGATTTTCTTTCAATTTTTAATCCATGCTCGTCCATTCCTGAAAACAGAATAACCCTTGCACGTCTTCTTCCCTCTGCGCATTCCCATTTGGCGAAGCGACATATTATGTCACTCAAAACGTTACAGTAGGCATGTCCAATGTGTGGCTTGTCATTTGCGTAGTACACCGGGGTGCTAACGAAGTAGACCTCCTCCTCTTGTCCTTCTTCACCATTTTCGCCATCACGATTCGGCACATTGGCAAGATTGTTCTCCCCGATGGAGGAATTCCCCGGCGTGGTGCTACACTTGGCGCTGTTCTCCGTGTCCCCCTTTTGTTGCAAAGCTGCCAATGTTTTTTTTGTAACCCTCGCTCGTGTAGTGGTGTGCCCCCAAGGCTTGTGCTCCTCGCCCCCATTTACATACGCATGGTAATAATGTTTGTATTTCCTCTTTGGACTTGCGCTACTCCATACGTTTGCTCCTTCCTTTCGGCGAAATGGTGACAACGATGTGGGGTGGCCGTGAATTGGGCACAAGTTGCCACACAGGCTGGATAAGGACGGAGGGCTTCCTCCCTTGAACGCTTCTGCGAGGGGCACACTTATCAGGCCAACCAACAAGGGGTGCAGCACCCATTTCATAATTTGACTTAACTGCTTCTTCACTTGGCATGCGGGCTGCAGCCTCTACAGGGACATACATATATATAGCCCCCACTTTTTGCGCCTGCTTGATTTTTCGTTACTTTAATTTTTCCTTTTTCCGAGTACCCCCCCTGGGCTCTGCGACATTGGCAGCGAGTGTTTCAAAGGGGCATGGTGATCGTTTCGCCCCTGTGTAGTAGAACTGCCAATGGGAAGGGCCTCCAGAGTTATGCAACGTATTATCAATTGCAGCCTCGTAAAGAGCAACCTCCCTAATTTCAATGTGCACGCGACCGGCCAGAGTTTTCTTTTTTGCCCCCTTTCCGCTGCGAAATCGGGGAACCGTATCGCTTTCTGCGTGGCTAGAAATATTAGCCCCATTCTGCCGACGCATATTTACGAAGCGAGCCAAAAAAAAAAAAAAAAAAAAAAAAAACGGCTAAAAAGGGGGCGACGCAAACAACTTTAGGGTGTCGTTTCTGTTCCGTGTTTTGTTAGCATTTCGCACGGCATTATATTCAAACGTCTTTTTTATTTTGTTCCTTTCTTTTTGATATTTTCTTTTCCTCATTTGTTTTCTTTCTTTTTTTTTTTTTTATTTCCTATTCCTATTCCCCCTTTCTGCAAAATTTGCACAAGTCGTTTTGTGGACATCGCGCGAGGTACCATCCCTGGTCATCACCACCATGTGATGAATCCACCACGTCAAAAAACCCCAAAGGTTGAAAAACCTGCCGGATGGTATACTATACCTGCATAGCAGGTTGTGCTACTCACGGGAATAGGAAAACAGTTTCCACTTCTTGGATTCCCCCTCCATCCGGTAACTGTATCACCCGCGCGCGCTTTATTTTTCGTGATTAACAAAAAAAAAATGGGGAAGAGAACGCGGCGAGGGAAAAGGAAAATCACCTCGCTGAACGAGCTGTACGAACTGGAGTATGTAAAAAAAGAAAAAAAAAAAAAATTGAAACAACTCAGCTCATTTAAAGTTAAGAAGAATGACGAACCCGGTATAGAAGCAAACCAAGAAAGAGACACAAAGGGCAAACAAATTAACCCCTTGATTCTTGAGGAGTACAAAAAATTGAAGGAACTCGAAGAAGGACCGACTCGACAAAAGGGAAAAGAAACAGATGGAAAGGAAAAGAAAAATAAATCAGCCTATGCAACCTTTTTGCAAATTTTAAAAAAAAAAGAACAGCAGGAAAGAGGAACCAAGGGAGACACGAGTGATCATGTTAAGAAAAAAAAAAAACATTTAAAGGCCCGACCCGCTTTAGCAGATACTTGCGAAGGGTCCTCCTCCGATGAAGAAGCAAACCGGGAAAACTCTCCTAATAAGGAGGAAGCCAAAGAAGGCACCCCAAACCTTCAGAACAAAGAGTCCAAAATTAATGTGCCAAAAAATGTAGATGACTTGTACATGTCTTTTCTAATAAGAAGTGTAAAAAGTCAGAGGAGCCAACAGATCGGCAGAAGGAGCTCCCCTCCAAAATGGAACAGTTGCCAAGGTAGGGAAAAAGCAACTGAGGGGATGAGCCCAACGGATGATTGCTCTATGAACAGGAGCGAAACACACAGCGAAGAAGCTCCGGAAGGAACCCAGTCACACCCCAATTATTGTTACACATATAAACCAAAATGCATTTTTAAAAATTACATGAACGAGTCATACAAGTTACATGAAGACAAAATGGATTACTTCTTTACCTTTTGCCAAAACGTGGACGAAAATTTTCTGCAGAAATTCTGCTCAAAAAGAGGAAGCAAAGTGGGGAGAGCCGATGGCGCAGAGCGATGCAAAAAAAGTGAAACCATCGAGGAGGCCTACGTGACGTCCAACTTGTTTTTGGAGTCGAACATTTTTAGTGGTTCCAGGGCTGAGCGGCATACCGGGGAGCGCTCGGAGGAGCCTACTAACGATGGCACTGTCAAGCACAGCGACAAGCACGTGGATCCCGAGGGCGAACTGTTTTGCGATGTCCAAGTCAAACCGCATTTTTTCTCCACCTACCGGGAGAAAAATCACGTGTCGTATTACCTGTTAAACATCCTGGACACAACCCCAAAGTGTTTTCTGCACAAAGACAATCCCTACAACGTGTACGAACCCGTAGTTCAGCGCGCGCAGAATTACCTCTCCGCCTTTGAGCACCCCTTAGCGTACTTCAACAAGGCTATTTACAAATACCTGAGGGAGTACTATGGAGATTGCCCCGATCACGTGAGCGCTCACCAAAATGGGAAACATGACAATAATGAAGGAGAGGACAACAGTATTATGGAAAAGGACAAAGGAAAAACACTAGACGTGGTGAATCTCATGCAGCACGAAGAATTGAAGAGCTACTTCCACTATATCAACTCGTATGTCGATGTCTTGTACTCAAACCAACACGTCATTAACAGCCATTTTGTGAGACTCCTAAATTGTGTCCACCTCCTGACCCACTTAAAAAAAAGGAGGAAGAGAAAAAAATACATAAAAAAAAAAATAGAAAAATTGGAAAAGGAACAACAGGTGGAAAAAGAAGACGTACAAGTGAAGGAAGAACTCTGTGATGAAAGTTTCGCAAGGCCAAAAATTCTAATCCTCTGTGGATTTAGGCACATGGCAAAGGAGTACACCGATTTAATCATACACATGTTAACACCCACAGAGGTGAAAAATAAAAACAGATTTATTAACGAATATGATATAACTGATGAAGAAAAAAAATGCATCCGAGATGTCTTCCTAAAGAAGAGAAAAACCATGGATTATATAAATTTGTACAGAGGAAACAACGACGACTGTTTCAGGCTTGGAATTAAGCTGCTCGACGATGAGAAAAAAATACAACTGTATAGCCCATTCTATGACAGTGACATTTTAATAACCTCCCCGCTTGGATTGGAAATCATGATTAAGGAGCGTCATGGAGATGCCGAAGAAAAAATCGGGATGGCAAGTGAAGACTCCTCCGAGGGAGACGCATGGGGGTATGAGGAAAAAGGTACATCACAAAAGGGGAAGGGGAAAAACCGAAACAAGCAAGGCAATGCGAAAAAAAAAAAAAATGACAAAAAAAAAAAAAAACTTTACGAATACGACTTTCTCTCTTCTATCGAAATTTTAATCATCGACCAAGCAGATATCATTTTAATGCAAAACATTTTGACGTTAAAGAATGTGCTAAATTTTGTGAACAAACCTTTGCTCAGATGGGGAAGTGCTAACATAAATCGAATCGCCAAGTATGTCATAAACGGCTACATGAAGAACTACAGACAAACCATAATTACCTCCAACATTTTGGACACAACGTTCATTTCGCTAATTCAGTCGGCGACAAATTACAGAGGCTTCCTAAAACTGTTCATGAAAGGGGCAGACACGGAGGGGGATAGGGAACATGGCCAACTGGGCGATGATAATGATGGGCGACGCAATGATGGGGGAAGTGGAAAACTGCCCACCGTGGATGATCCCAGTCTCTCCTGCAAAACGATCTTGCTAAGCGTAAGAAACCACTTCCACACAAATCAGTATTTCAAAAAAATTGAGTGCACACACATTCTCCAAATAGAGGAAAACATCATACAGTTTTTCGCCACAAACGTAATTGACATACTCACAAATATTAAGCAGCTCCTCATTTTTTTACCCACATATATTGAATACCTTCGCATACACGAAATTTTAAAAAAAAATGACATTTCTTTTAAAGGGGTGAATGAATATACAAATGAAAAAAAAATTGCAAAAATTCAAAAGCTTTTTAAACATGGAAGAATAAACATCTTACTGGTTACTGGTCGTTTGGTTTTTTACGAGAGATGTACCTTCAGGGGGGCCAACCACGTCATTTTTTTTTCTCCCCCCAAATTTATTTTTATGTACTATGAAATGATTAAAAATTTAGTCCCGTCCTCAAATTCGTCCTCCATTTGTTATTATACAAAATATCATACATACGAGTTGGAACGTATCGTGGGGCAAAAACTGGCCATGCAGTTGATGCGGGAGAAGCCCGGAAAAATTACTCTCTTTAAGTGAGCTTACGTTGGTGTAGAATGGTGTGCAAATATATACATAAAATAGCGTGGGGTTAAAAAAAAAAATTCATATAAGCCTTGGTATCCTTCGGGGCCTGACCAATAATGCATCCGTTCGAAGAGGTCCACCTTTATTTCACCATGAGGAAAGACCTCCGTTTTCTTTTGGTGCTTCTGCCCTTTTGGGAAACTCTACAAGGAAGTCATGCTCTACATTTCCTTGATGATTTTCCAGTGTATATCCATATTTAGCCTTTTTCTGTGGTAAAGAAAAAAGTGGTGAATTTGTTTTCCACAAAAATGTGTAAAGGTGTTGCGCCTGCTTCTGGTATTACCAGATTATTTGCTTTATTTTATTTTTTTTTTGTGTGTGTGTTGCTTTCTCTATTTGCTGTTCTTATTTTTCGTATTTTTCCCTTTTTTTTTTTTTTGTCTACATTTTGCGCCTACCGCAAAAGTCCCCACTGTACACATTCGCCATAAGACTCAATTTCCAACTTTTCCAGTTTGGTTATCGCCTTAAAGGTGAAATTTGCAAAAAAGCGTAGAATTAAAGTAGCTAGTTACAGTATGAACAGAAAAAAAAAAAAAAAAAAAAAAAGTAAAATAATCTAGCCATTTTGGCTGTACAAACCATTTCCGCTTTGGCTAGCTGGAGCTCATAATCCGATAATGTTGATTTGTTGCCTGAACGTTCATGCATTCTGCTAATTATAGTGTTTGTTCGTAAAAAAAGGGATACAACAGCGCCTTCCTACAAAAATGTGTAAACCGCTATATGTGTCTAATTGGGGATAAAAACACTGAGCACAGTGGACATGTATTTTCCTTCCGATCGTTAAACAATTGTACGCAAGTACAACGAAAAATAAGAAGTAAAAACGCGGAAAAGCTTCAATCTAAATGAGGAAGTCAGGGATGGAAGTCGCGAAGAGGACGAAATATAAATCACAATCCGGTAAGCATCTTAACACATTGATGTAATGGCCACGCAAAAACACAAACAAGTGATTTTTCGACACACGTGTTCGTGGTACGTAAAAATGGGAAAGCAGGTGAAGCAACAACCAATTAAAAGGAGCCCTTTTGCCTACTTCCACCGCGCATGACTGCACAGCTGCTGAGCTAAATGAAGAATGGTCAAAGCTCAAAAAGTGTAGACAGCTGCAGGGCATCCATTTCATGCTTGGTATCATTTCGCGCGTTAAACATTCTAATAAAATTAATATTTTTGTATAAAACGCGATGGAAATTTCGTAAGCTCTGTAAATTCACCTCTTTTATTAGCGTATTCACCAATTTGTTGTTCCTTCTGCAGCTGTTAAAGTACTCTGAGAATAAATTATTCGTTACGCAGTCTTCATCGATTATGTTTTTTTCCTCCGTTTTTACTTGCTCGTTTTCGTCTTTTTTTTGGGCTGCGCCAATCCTTGCATGGTCCCCATATGAGGGTCCCTTCTTCAAATAAAACTCATTTAAAAAATTATTTAGTTCACAAATGAAATCCCCTTTGGAGTACATCTTATGTTTGTCTATGTACAAGTCTATCGTAGCAATTTTCTTAACATAAGAGTTGATTTCCCTATCTCCTATCAACATGCTGTGCTTCGCTCTTTCCCCTGCATTTAAGCATACTCCGTTAATCGCACTCTTCGGTTTATGTTTCCATCTCGACGGATGTGAATTCCTATACGAGTGGTACATCAAAAGGGTGTTATCGAACTTGTTGTTGTTGTTTTTTTTCTTCCCCTCCCTCCTTTTATCAGTATGATTTAAATTAATTGAAGAGTAATTCTCCAGTACATACTGAGCAAAAAATATTTTATCCCCCTGTAACGTTTTCAAAACTACTAGACACAAGTCAATGCACTTCTCAATGTTCTTCTTGGACTTGTCCAACTTTCTTCTTCTATTCATTTTTGAGTTTCCACTGTCATCCCTTTTTATACCATCGTTCTCTTTAATTTTGTCCAAGGAATAATATAAATTGAAGACAAAATGTTTGAGGAGAACACCAACGAGGGATTTAACCCCCTTTTCGAATCTGTTAAGGAGGGAGGGGATTTGAATAGGCTGAGCCGTTGTTCTCATTTATATATGTGCACACAGGGATGGTCTCTTTATGTATAGGCCACGTTAAGCAGAAGTGTTCCATGTGCATAAAGTGGTACGTACTACTGGATTATTCGCCCTCTCGCAAGAAAACACATGCTGCAAATTATCATGTGAACCATTACACCCCACTGCGCGCACTTATCATTCGGGGCGAGTGCATTTTTCAGAGCACAGACACTACTGACAAAAAAGGAAAAAAAAAAAAAAAACAACAAAAAACTGTATAACCACTATTATGCCATTATTTAATACACCTTTTGTGTTCCCTCCCCCCTGAAGGTAATGAGAACATCACCATTGAGCATTATCATTTCTACCATGACGTGACTGAATATGTATTAGTGTGTATGCCTAGGTGACCATATATGTACAGGGGGGTGCAGGTGATTTCCCTACCGTTTCGCAAGAATATCCCCATGCTCCATTGTTTTTTCTGCTCATTTTTTTTTTTCTGCGTTCTCCCCGTGTAATCACCAAATGGTTCAATGTGGATGACAAGCGATTGGCCAGCACTACAGGGGTAATGGTTCTATCAAATAGGCGCACCCGCGAATTAGTGCAGACAAAGGGGATTGCCTAAACAATGCTGTTGATTGCAAAGTGACCATTCGCTTGTCCAAATCAGAACGAATACGCACAATGGAACAAATTCAACGGAAACGATTTAATTTGTGTCCTATAGGAGAAAATTTTCCCTTTGTCTGTTTTCTCATATATATTAAACTACCGTTCTGTGGAGATGAGCATCTCCATGTGGCAGGTATACACAAACGGACGCTACGTTGGATACATACATGTACACATGCGTTGGAACAATAGGAAAAAAAAAGTCCACCATTTTTCTGGCCCCTGCAAAAAAAAAAAAAAACTCTTCAAGCACGAGACAGCTTTATGGAGGGTAAATTTTGAAAATAGTACGGCGTCAGGGGGAGAAGAGTGTAGACATTTGAAGGAGAGTCCTTTGTGACGGCCTCATCCTCCACAAGGTGAATATTGCTTGGCGAAATTACACCTACGTTGTTCTTATCATGTGTGCATATGGGGGGAATTTTTTTTTTTAAAATGTCATGCGTGTGTTTAATGTATGTGTACGCTTTGGAGGTGTCACAACTGGTAATATACTTCCTACTATGCTCTCCCCCTGCGCATGACAAAAGTTTGTTTCCTCCTTTTGTGTTACTTCCAGCACAATCAGCACATGGTTTGACCAAAAATCGCTTTAATAACTTTCGAACGTACATTTTGCAGGCTGTCTCAATTTTAAATAGCCCATATATCTTGTTAAAGGCTGTAAAAAATTTATCTCGCACTTTGTTACGCTTAAAATGTGCATGCGTTTTAACCTCACCATAAAATGTGTTAAGCGCTTTTGCAATTGGGGATTTAAGTTCCTTTTTTAGGATGCATGTCCCATGGCAGACGCTTCGTTTTTGTTCATCTTCTATTTTGTTAATAATTTTTATTTTACTAAAAGCATTTCGTAGCAGTTTTTTTTCACATATCGTCTTGTTCAATATTTCAAGTCCCCTCCCTGTTTTGAGGCTGCTCGTGACGAGGTCTTTCCCCTCCTCAAAGGTTAAGAACTGTTTCTTTAATTTCTCGCTAACTTAGGAAACACGGTGGGTCAGGTAGAAATGATAAAAGGGGGGAAAAGGATGATTGGACAGCACGTTTGCACGTTGGCATGTTGGTGGGGTCCCTTCCACAGCAGCTGCACACGCGGGAATAGACAGCTCATATACAAATGTGCCACACCAGTTTAGGACTGGCCCCCCACCCCATTTCGTTTCCTCATGTTATGCTTACTTTTAATCATGGAGGCTTGCCTATCCGTTCACTTTTACGAAGTTTCTAGCGTTTTTTTTTTATATATATTTTTGTCCCATGTTGAAGTGCCACAAATAGTCTTCACCCTTACTCAGCGTCTTCCTTCCAAATGAGACACTTTTCAGAGGCAGGGCAAACTTCCCACCACATGCACACAATTTGTTGACCTTTAAATAAATATGGGCAGGGCGAGTGCCCCCGAAATGGGTCACTTCCAGAGGGGGAAATTGACCACGCCGGTCACAAATTCAGACTCAGGCGCGAAGTGGTAAAGTAGAAAAGTAGCGAAGCGTTTGTGAACAGGCTGTGTAATTTGGCGAAGAGTCCCAGCAATTTACAAACACAATGAAAAAAAAAAAAAAAAAAAAAAAACATCAAAAGGATGCCCCCACATGCCGAGCTATCTTGGTCCTTCACCTTATCGGCTTCTATACAACGGACGCGTTTTTCACGTGCTACCCATTTTGTACGTTTATTTTATTTTATTTTTTTCCTCCATTTGGAGTTAACATCTCGCAGTTTTGGTTCACAGGTGCATGCAACTTCATTCCGTCCTGTCTCGCACATCGCGCACGTCGCACGGGTATCGCACAGTTCAGTTGTTCACACGGAATTGGAGTGAAAGAGGAGCAGTGTAGATGCTATGGGCAGGAAGAACTCCATCCAAGCCCGTAACTACAGGCGCACATAAGATTGTACATTACACAAAGCGCTTCTGCACAGTGTGCATAAATACACATGTGCCTGCTTCCCCACCTACACAGACAGCGCGCTGGAAAAAAAAAAACATTTACGACACGCATTAACGATGATGATAATGTTTTGTGTGGTCCATTTTCCAACGAAAAATTACAAAACGGGTAGCAGCGCCACGGTTCATGACGTATCCCATACGGTGGTAGGTTAGCCACAAGGGGTGTGATATCCACATTGGCACAGTTAGCCTGTTTAATACTTCCAACCCACACGCATGTATATGTGTGCACTGGGTTAGACGGGCAAAAGCAATTACGTGAAAGGACACATATTGTTGAGCCTTTTAAAAAATACAAAGGAGTTGCCTGCCGGTAAATCTATTGTAATGCCTCAATTAATATTCCTCCACAGGTGGGGCGCATGACAGAACTATTTCGTTAAGGGGCCTCTAGACATTTTCGCTTGACCTTTCGCCCTTTAAACTCATTTAATGATGTGTGTACGTTAATCTGTCCTGTAAGCCCCATCGTTCCGTACATAACCCATGTGTAGGTGTAGCACCCCTCCCCGTGCTTGAAAGTTCAATCCGGTGCATGCAAGGGGGTTCTCCTTTTTAGTATCAGCCACTCTACGGAGTTAAGCCACGCCTAAATGTACATCGCCTCAATTTGGATGTGCTCCTCTGTAAGATGACTATGCGGTTTTTCAAATATCAAATATTTCAGAAGGGATTCTATTCACATAAAATATATCACTCCTTCCATTTGTTAACCTGTTAAATGAACGATTTTGCGCACTTTGGGGTGTTTTTCCTTCCCTTCCTTACACACAGTCAAACTACAAACTTAAGCAAGTGCGATTTGTACGTGTTGGAATTTTGCCTAAACAGGTTCACTCATGTGTATGTGGTGTTATTTTCTCGTTAGGTCTTCCTCCAAACAGCATGGACTCCTCCCTCTTCTTCTGTCCAGTTACTCTTGTCATTCCCATGCATCGATAGGCAGATAAAGGGGTGGTGGGCTCGTACATTTGTCCATGGGAAAAATCACCAAAATAATGAAATAAAAAATGTACATCATATGAACTGGCAAATATTGCTCTCCTCATCTGGCCTCATAATAAATATATGGCTACACGTTACTCGAACTGATCATGATGCGAAAATTTTTTTTTTTATCCATTTCTACTTCTATATCTACTTCGTTCTGCTGTATTGGCTAGGCTCTGTTTGATGTCCCGGTGGTGGCCACCAGTATTGCGCGGCTTACGCTGATTATACGACCCATGCGCGCTTTTCCCATTGTGTGACGCGTGTGATGAGTATGACCCGTGTGATGCGCGCGAGCCGTGCCCGTTGTACTGACTGGAGGTGTCCCTGTTATTGCCATAGTAAAAAGGGTAATGATACATCTCAGCGTTCCTCGTAAAGCCCCCACCGAAATTTTCTCTAAAGCCTGAATCCACAAAATGGTTGGACACATGGTTCCGATCCTCACCCATATTGCTATTAGCGTAGCTCATCAAATTTGGGTTCGCATATTTATTCGTGCTAATTGAAGGGGAAGAAGAGGCGGGCTCATAATGGGGAAAAATATCACTTGGGCAATTTTTATTAACAACAGGATAGTCATTCATCTGGGAACTCTGACTCATATTGCTCATGTAGGACTTTCCTACCTGCTTCCCTCCGCCACGTTGCCTTTGATGCATGTAACTCAGGAAGTCCTTGTTCATGACCACGTCACTGCAGTAGCTCGTATTTGACATATTCATGTGCATAAAGGAGCTGCTGCTTTGGGTTCTGCAGTCGTCACTAATAGGGTGGCTTCCATCGCTTCTTTCACTTCTATCACTTCCACCGCTTCTACTCCTACTCCTACTCCGGTCTGAGAATACGCCCCCCCGGAATGGCCTTTCGCTAGGCAAGAAGTAACTAAAGTTGATGTACCTCGACGGCTGCTTGGTCGGGGTCGGTATATGTATATTCATTGGTTTCAAATTGGACAAACACCCCTCGACAATGAGGTCCTTCTTCTTAAATTGACTAAGGAGGTTAATCCACACGGAGTTTACATTTGTAATGGTCTCATTCGAGTTATGAGTTTTTTTCATCATTACGTGATGTCTGGAAAGTACCTTAGCATTACCACATATGATCAACCCATACTTGGCCCTCGTCAATGCTACGTTTAATCTCCTTGGGTCATTTAAAAAACCAATTCCTAATTTCTTATTCGATCGCACACAAGAAAGAAGGATGAAGTCCTTTTCCCTTCCCTGAAATGCATCTACAGATGCCACTTCTATCTCAGTTGAGTGTTGATAAGAAATGCTTTTCTGGAAGAGGGATGTTATGTAAGCTCTTTGCCCCTCGTATGGTGTTATGACTCCTATCTGAGTTGGTTTCAAACCACAATTGATGAGTGTCTTCACTAGCTTCTCCATGTTAGACGCCTCTGCTCTGTTTAAGTAGCTCGTCCCGGATGCAGACATTTCTTCCAGCCCAGTAGAGTTATAAAAAAACATGGGGCATTTGGGATTAGGCCATGGGAAGTCCTTCAGGGGATATTCTCTTTCCTTTAATGTGATTCCGTTTTGCAGACAACCATCATAGAAGACATATGATGGGAACTCACTTAATGCTGGGTGCATACGGTACTGGACTTCTAACCTAAACGGTGTAATACCTAACATAACTAATCGTTCGAATAGACTCTTTCCCAACCCTGCATTGGCTGCCTTCTTACAAACTATTATGGGTCCCAACTGACAGTGATCTCCAACCAATACAATCTGTTTGGCTCCCGTCACAAGAGGTACTAAGCACTCCGGTTCTGTTGACTGGGTCGCTTCATCAACTAGCACTTGGCTAAATCGAAAACGTTTCAATCGTTTATCCATGGCACCCACACAAGTAGTACATATCACATCTGCCTCCAACAATATCTTATACTCTGCGAAAAAAATTAACTTTTTTAATCTCCTTTCATCCTTTTGTGATAACTCACCAACTTCCTCCTTCAGTTCAAGTAACTTATTCAGCTCTTCCCCAACATCTGATTTTAATAATTTCATTTGATTATGAAGATACAAATAATCTGCAATGCTCGGAACGTACTCTCTACTCTTAGCACACAAGCGTACCACCTTTAGTCCAGTCTTGTGTATTCTTACAGACAGCTGATCCACAGCCACGTTACTAGGGGCAGTGACTAATACTTTTCCCATTTTTGTATTAGACAAATGGTAGACCAGAGTAGCACAGGTTAAAGTCTTGCCTGTCCCTGGTGGTCCTTGAATTAAGGACAAGGGTGAAACTAAGCTTTTCTTTATAGCATCTATTTGTGAGTGATTTAGTGCAGCTAAATTTGGGGCAGAATAATTTACTATACGTGGAGTTCTCTTCCCATATACCTGATTGGTTAATGCAGTTTTATAATAATTTAGTGATTCCTCTGAAACCTCATGACCTAGTAACTTATGGTACAAGTACCCACTCAGTGAGTAGGAGTCTTGAGCAAATTCATTCAACGCTAACTGCATCCGATCATATGCGGTGCTTTTCCATACGAACTCAACTGTATACCCAGTTGTTATGTTATCCACCCATGGCCCATTAGCCGTAGCAGAGGTTCTTAATTCTAAGGCTATTTCCTCCGTGTTATGGATCCTAGAAATATGGCCTTCACAACTCCACACACTTCCATCTGCATATGTATAAGATAATTTTAATTCATCTCCTGCTACTAACCTCAATTCACTTTCTTCCTTCACGTAAATGAAATGGGCATACCTTTTCTTATTCAATCCTATATCCCAGCGCACTGTTACATTTGCTTGCTTCTGACCCTCCTTTATCGATTTGTCATAGTCCGCCTCTACCTGTATTAAAGGTGCAAAGATGGACTGGTAATGATACGCGTCTTTATACCTTAGCTCCACCTTAACGGGTTCATCATTTAGTATTTCTGCATCTAGCTCATCTATATACACATCCTTTTTATTCTTCCACAACTCTTCTAACTTGTTTACATTATAAGATGTAGTTCTCTTGCCCTTCCTTTCTGCTTCTTCCGCGGTTGGAATATTTACTAACCATTCAAGTAAACATCTGTCTTCAATCACTGGTTGCCATTTGTTCAAGTCCCAGTCCTTCATCTTTATAAGCTCCTTTAAATTATTTCCTACACTTGCACAACAGCTACTTCCACCCTCGGATTCCTCCTTCTGGTTCGCCTCCTGCTCTGTTTTTTTTTCCTTTCCGCTTTGATTCGTATTCTTCTTCTTCTTCTTCCCGGAAAGCACCCCTAGAGAGGACCTTGCTTCACCGTCGCTGCTCTTTTCCTGCTCACTCATGTAGCCAAAATCGTCGCTGCTTAAATAGCCCTTGTTCTTCACCATGTCTGTGTCTTCCTTGGTACTCACAACGTCATCTTCATCTGTGCCAAATGGCTCCTCTTTCTCGTGGAAATTTTCATACGGGAAAGTTTTTCCTTTTTCCTTCTTAGATTCTCTCTCCGGGGGGTCCTTCAGTTCAGCGGAGTTGCCCTTGCCCTCTGTTTGCTGCCCTGCGGTAGCGTCCCCCCCAATTGCATTCCCCCCCTTTTGCTTCATCTCCTCTTGTTCCGTTTCACCCCTCCCGTGGCTCTTTCCGCTCAGCGAAATGCACTTGGCTAAGCAAGGGTCCCTGCATATAATGACAACGACTCCCTCCTCTGGCGTGGGTAGGAAACCGAGCAAAAACACATTTTTGCACCCACAGTTGTAACACTCCAATATGGTTTCCCCCAGCAAGCTCTTCTTATGTAGTTTAATTTCCTTATGCTTGGACCTCACCAGGTGCGTGACGATGTGGCTACCACACGTCCCATAAGAACCATTACAGAACCATCGACCGCACGTGTTACACTGAACCACACTATCCACAGAATCCATTTCACAGTAGCGACATCTAAAATATTTTGGCTCTTCTTTATTTCCCTTACTCACGCAAGTCATGTCAACACTGTAGCTATAACTGTCGCAGTTGCTGTTTGAATACTGGCTGCAATCCCTTCGGTACTTCCTCCTCGTATTGTAATCTTCGTACAATTTTTCCTTATCCTCTTCGTAGTCCTCCTTAGACATAATACCATACATGTTCGCTGTGCGATCCCCACACGTGTTTCTCTCTTGTGGAGAGTGTACATGATCGTTATTGCTACTGTGTGTATTATTAAAACCCATACCCTTTCCATCCCTCTGTTGGTTTTTCTTTTTCTTCCTTTCGTATTCCATACTATTCCACCGCTCACCCTTGTCATAATTAACAATGCCTTCCTCTTCCAAACTATCGTCAGGAAGTTCAATCTCACCACCGGCATCGTGATAACCGTCCTCTACATATGCATATCTGTGTTCCAACCCCTGCGCTCTTTTCTGCACCAGATGATCCTCTTCCCCTGTGTGCACATCATCCAGCCTCTTCTCATGCGAAGTGTTGCGAGCCCGTTGTACTAATTTGCTATTCTTTCCATTGGGCCTACTTTTCTTACTTCCTTCCTTGTACATGGTTGTGGTGTCCACGGAGGAATTATCTGTGCTTTCTTCCCCGTCTCCATCGCCTGCCCTATTTTCTCCATTTTTCATATCCCCCTCGAAAAACTTCTCGCCAATTTTTTTTCCTTTTTTTTTGTTTTCCTTTTCCTTGAGGGTACAGAAATTGTAAAAGTCATCAAAATCGTCCACGTCTATTTGGTTGTAGTCGAATGTGCTGTCCATGGTGGACACATCTGCCGGTGTCGTTCTTGTGGACAGCGGCAAGTCGGGTTTCTCTGCTGGTTTATATATGTATCAGGAGAGCAGGGGGGAAGGGAAGAGCTCCTCGTAGGTACATATATGTATCTGTATGCACACGTTTTATCCTCTTTGGTGCTGAGGGGATTTATATGCTTAGATGTCACTTGGGTGCTACATCAAGTATTTCCTACGTACTCGTACCGCACCAAAGTACGAACAGGAACATACGTTGTGTGTTACTTATGCGCATACACGAATGGGCATATAACAGCAATGCGTTTTCAACCCCCCTTGCACTTTATTCTCTCCTTATAGGGGCAATAAAAGGAGGACATTACCACACGGTGTTACCTTCTGCGATATGTACAATTGTGCATACATGCCCACTCCGTGTGCACACTTGTTATATTTAAGCTGCCACTTGAGCAAAACTGCGCCACCTCTGCGCTCTTCAACTTGTGCATACCCCACCCTCAAAAAAGGGTCACAAAGGGGAAGGGAGAAAAAAAAAAAGAAGAAGCAAAGTTGCTAATGTTCTATAAAAAAATGAGGAAAATTTTTTTTGCCCTCTCAAGCGCCACTGTACAGAGCCGAACAAAACTGTACAAGGCCAAACTTGGTAATGACATACACTATGAATACGGCCCTCGCGGTTTCACCGCTACCTAATTTTGTGTATTAACAAAAAAAGGGGGGACGACAATGCTTCTTTTGATTTGCACAAAACGGGCACAAAAGTGTGGCCATATCATACACCTCCATATTCATACTACATCCGCACAAGGCCAAATACACATACATAAAAAAAGAGTAGAGTGTTTCCCAATTTGATGAAAAAAAAAAAAAAAAAAAAAAAAAATTCTTCATCTCAACAGCTTTTATAATAGTAGCGTGCTTGCCTATATCTCATTTTATCGCTCTGCCTTTTTTTTTTTTTTTTTTTTTTCTCAGCATGCCCTTGAAACCTAGCTAGGTATGTTCAGCCAGTTGACACAGCTCCGTTTTATGCTCCCAAGGGGGTTAAAGGCTTGCCAAGAGCATAAATGAGAAAATGTGAAAAATATGCATTACGTGTATATATACACAGGTACATACATATTTAAACATTTTATTAAGAAAAAAAAAAAAAGCATTTCATTATAGCTCCATTTGACATAGGTTAACTCAGGAAAAAAGAAAAAAAAAAATACTCATTTTGTCGTGTACATGTGAGTACTTTTTTTTTTTTTTTTTTTAATCCCGACGTTTTTTTGGTATTCACTAGCAATCTAGCCTTGTACACCTCCTACTCCTTTCCGTTTTTTTTTTTTTCATTTTTCTCTTCATCACATTGTTATATGATATTGTGCAATGTGAAATGCCTTTTTCCCCTGTTGCTCTGCTTATTTCCTGATGGCACCTTTTTTTTTTTTTTTTACGAATGCATAGAGGGGTTATACAAACTGCTTCACATGCACATTACAGGGTGACTGCGTGTATGTACAACACCTATGCATGTGCCATGCGTACAGATATGTGACTATGTACTTATGAATGAAAGAACGCAGGCAAGTACACTAGTGGGATAACATTTGTCCTCTTCCTCTCGCCGCTTCCCTAACCTTTCTTCTCTGCACGGTTCACGAGGGTGGCATTCTACATTTTGCTCATGCAAAATATGAAATACGCCCCATTGGCAAAAAGGATGCTTCCACTTTTAATACTTCTCCCGTCCTCGTCCAACACACATGAAATAGACTGCCACACAGCGTACCCACAAAAGTGAGAAAAGGTATGAATAACATCTTCCCCCTTCCGTATGTGTGTGCACACGGAGTGGGGGTACATAAAGAAATTGCATTCCAAATTGAGTGTACGCACTGTATTCCGCCGCTTCTGCATTTATGTATCTACCCATATGTACCTCTATACACGGTATGTGTAGGTACGTCCCCACGATGCGTTGCGCGAACGTGATGTTGCACAGTTCGCATAGATCGGTCGTCTAACAAGAGCCAACACGGAAATGAACATCCTTAATGGGGGAGCAGCGTGCGTATATCACATGCCCCCGCGTACTGCCTCGTACGCCTTCATGGGGGATGGAAAAGCGGGGGGACATACCATAAGACTTATAACAACAACGATAAACATGTTCATTCCGTTGAAGCCCCGAACAGTGCCAGCGGGGTAAACGGAGGTGGGTGTGTAAATGTCACCAACTGAACAGTGGACGGAAAAAAAAAAAAAAAAAAAGCGCCACAGTGAATTGAACGAAACCGTAGGAAAAGACACAACCGTTGCACACTTTTAATTTTGTCATTTAAAATTTATTTTATTTTTTTTTTTTTTCAAAAGTTATATAATTTGAAAACAAACTCATCGGAATTTAAAAATTGTAGAGTGGAGGAATGAACATCGAAAGGTGGAAAAATAAAAGCGGGAAAAAGACGTGCTCATTATTTGGCACACAAAAATAAAACGGTGAGGATTACATCACATTGGTATACGTAAGAGAATTACGTTTGCCAAACAAAAAAAAAAAAAAAAAAAAAATGCCACGTAAAAATAATAATGAGAATAGGAAAAATTGTACACACACAAATGATGGCTAGCATAACCAATTCAAACAAATGGTTACAAGTGAACAGCTATGCTCATAGTGGTCATTGCCAGTGGACCCCTTCTCCACACAACAAAGCAAAAAAAAAATAAATAAATAAAACAAAACGACACGAGTGTTAAAAAGGTGACAATGTCCTTACGACAATTTCTCCCTCTTGCTGTTGCCCTTTTTATTTTTATTCACCTTTGCAGGCACATCAGCAACAACTTTATTTGCTGCGTGCCCTTCCTTTTGTATGTGTGCAAATAATTTATTTCGCGAGTCAAATGTTTCCCTGCACATTTTACACACCAAACCTTTTGTATTTTCTTTTATTTTACTTTTCGAGTTTGCTTTCCCGCTTACACCCTTATTGTCTTCCGTCGGCTCCTCCAAGTTCTTTTCTTCCTTTTCTTTCTTGTTAATGCCTTCTTTTTTTTTTTTTTTCTTTTGCAATTTTTTTTTTCGCTTGGAGGATGCGTAGTCGTCGCTCGAGTCCGTAGCGTTTGCAGGTTGTGCAGCGTGTCCGGCGATCTTCTCCGGCTGTGCAGAATCGTCCTGCTGGGGACACTCCCCCCGCTGCAAACTTTCTGCTTCATCCGACGCACCTTCTTCTTCCGCTGCATGCGCTAATTTGTTTCGATTCCGCTTCTTCCCTTTGTACCAAGACAACACGTCTTCATCCAGGTGTGAGGACTCCGACGCGCAGTTGATCGACTGGGGTAGGTTGTTCACTGGTGTCGTGCTCTTTTTGTGTTGTTTTTTTTTCGTTTTGGATTTTGGGGTGCGCTTGTCTGGGCGTCCATCCGAGTTGTCGCTTTGTGCATTATTTAGGTCGTCCGTCTTGCCATCCATGTGGTCATCCATCTCATCGTCCACCTCATCACCCATCTGACTATCCAATCGCTGAGCATCCAACGGCTGACCCTGCGGCTCGTCCCCCCCGGCGCCGAAAATGCCCCCCTCGGCATACTTCTTGGCATGCTTCAAAAAGTTGCTCATGTGCTTCTTCGACTTCTCGTGCGAGCTGTACTGCTTCATGCTTTTAAAATTTTTCCTGCACACTTCACACCTGTAAATGATTTCGCCGTACTCGTTGTCGTCATGCCTGTCGCCCTCACCATGTCCAACCTCTTCACCGTTGTCACCCTCTTGGCTTCCGGATACGTAGCCACATGGTTGTTCCTCCTCAGACAAGGCCTCATCCCAGTGTTCATCCCCCCCGACATCCTCCCTCTTCTCCTCATTCTGCTCAAACAGAAATTTCCTCTGAAGCATTTGTTCTCTACGCTGCCTTTCCTTCTCCTCCAAATTTTTCCTCTTCTCCTCAGCCAACTCCACAACCCTGCTAAGGTACCTCGAATCATGCTTCTTCAAATGCTCCACCAAAGACCTCACATTTTCATTAAACTCCTTCCTTTCCCTTACACTTCTCTTCTCGGCAACTTTTTTTAAATTCCGTCTTACATACCTATTCTCTTGTTCATACATTTTCATATATTCATATGAGTAGTCAAATTTTTTAACTGTAGAAAAATTGGACCAATATAAATAAAATTGGTCAATGTCTTTTCCTTTCGATTGAGAATTTCCAAATGAGGGTGCATTAATTTTATTCTCTTGCTCCTTTCCCTTTCCCTTTTTTCCATAACGGTAACGCATACTGAGCTCATCATTTTCTGCTTTTATTATTTCTTCAAATAATTTTCTATACACATTATAAAAACTTCTTTCGTCTGTGTCATTAAATCCTTCATAACAGCTGCTGCTAAAATATTCCCAAATGTTTATACCTGAGGTTGCGCCTCCTTCTTCACTGTCGCTGCTTCCGCTGCTTCCACTTCTTCTTCGTGCATGTCTGTTCTGCTCCCTCTTGTCTTCATGTTCCCTTCCTGCAATAATTCGTAAACGATTCTTGTCATACCATTTTCTCCTCCTCTCGTCCACCAAACATTCATATGCCTCCTGAATTTGTCGAAATATATTTGTGCACCTTTTCTGTTCCTCTTCAGATAAATGGGAATTTTTGTCTGGGTGGTACTGAAGAATAATTTTTTTGTAACTCTTTTTTATTTCCTCTACCGTGGCCGTGCTTTCAACGTTTAATATTTCGTAAAAGCATTTGCATTTTTCTATATCCATGCTGCTGCTTCGGGGGAGGCGTACTCATATGTGTGGGGGGGATAAACAACAGGTACGGCGTCAGTTCCTACGCCACAAAAAGAATAGATGTGCCAAAAAGGACAGCTACGACTTTTTTTTTATTTTCCAGCCCAGCTGCTCAGATCTGCAATCGGGATAGGGACTTCCTACTTAGCTTTTCTCCTCCACGTCAGCTCGTCTGCTACACCACAGCTCATCCGATTTATATGCGGGCCGGCCGGGAAAAAAAAAAAACACTCTCTAATAAGGAATGCAAAACATGAGCATAGGCGTTCCCTACTTGCGTCACTACCAAAAATGGCTGCAATGTTGTCACAAACAGGTTGCAAAAATATCGCTCAAGTGCCACAAAAAAAAAAAATCATGATCAATGGGCACGCGATGGACGCCTACTGCTCTTCATGCTGCTCCCTTTCAAGAGCTTGTAAACGGACATAACAGAGCAAGCAGCCCAGCTCCGCAAAAGATTCTGTCCCTTAACGCGGAGAATCCTCACATGATCATCGGATCGAGTAGCAAAAATAGGGAACCATTCACTTTGCTGCCCGTTCTCACTAATTCTTATAAAAGGATATGCACAAGTGCTTTTTTTTTGTTTTTTCTAATTTCCTCGGTAATTTATAAACCCATCTGGCAATATTTCTCGTCCCGTCGCAGCATCAACATGTTCCATTTTTAGAGCGCCGTCGGTAATAAGTTTTTTCCGGCCACTTTTGGCGCGACCAAATTTGTTTGCCGCAGAAAAGGATCATGCTGCTTCTGCATCTGCTTTTGCTTTTTTTTTTTTTTATTTGTATTTTATTTTTCAAAATGGCAACAGGCATGGATTGAATGTTCAAGTGGTATAGGTTTCTTTTTTTTTTTTCTGTGCGCGCCCTTTTTTTGCTAATATAATATACCCCCTCACATGCTGCTGCTATCTGTCCCTTTTTTCGCTGCCACCTGTCTGTGGTTAGTTATGTGCCTCACAGACAGAGGGCGGAAGCCAGCGCCGTTTGAATTGGGGTTAACCGTCCGCAGCTCCCGCGTCTTTAAAAAAGTGCGAAGACGTAAAATAGGGGAACTACAAAAAATTAAACAAACTTCACCGTTAACGTAAAAAAAAAAAAAAATGCATGTACGTATATATATATACACATACATAGACATATGTAATCTTCTTCATGGGAAAACAAAAGCGCATGTAAAGCTTAAAAAAAAAAAAAGTCCAAAAACGAAGCAGGCACGTCTGCACACGCATCCACGCGATTCGCTTACTTGAAAAATTTTTCTACCGGGAAAAATGCTACACATAGTGCTTCTCCCCCCGTCAGGCCAGCAAATCCCTGTTGGCCAACGCGCGGTCGATCACGGAGGAGCCAGACCAACCGGACGAGCCAATAAAATCCTGCGCCACAATGCCATAAAACTTTTTCTGAAAAGCAACCAGAGACCTGTTCCGCTTCATGGACAAGTCGGCAGTGGATATGTTCATAATGACCCGCATCTCCGCCAACAAGTAGCTCAAAACAGAACCCGCATAGTAACATGAAAAATGATACGGGAAGCTTGTAGAGTGTATGGAATAGCTCGATCCAATTTTGTACGGTAGATAACTTTCAATGAGGTTGTAAAAAGGGGCCAAGGAATCACCTGCACACGACTGGTCATGTGAAGCTTTACCACGATTATCCAAATGGTTAGCAAAAAAAGCATAAGGGTTTAAATCATGAATCTCGTAGTCTATCACTGCATGCGTGTAGATATTAGCCAACCGAGAAGAATCAAATTTAATCGACTTGAATATATCTTCATTTATTTTGGAATTATTATCTGCCTTATTTGATAAAGCCTGTAACACACTGAAGTTATTTACCAGGTGTTCATTCATGTGAGAAAAAAACTCTGCATAATCCAATGGCATTTTCGAAAACTGATATAAATTATACCTCCTTGATAATAATAACAAATGGTACGCATGTCCAAATTCATGAAACAGCGTTAAAATTTCTGAACAACTGAATAATTTTTTTTCTATGGGTATAGTTCCAATGAATTTATAATCCAATACTACATGCCCTGTGAATATCAGGCAGGTGTTCGATAGACAGTTCATTGAGGGGACTCTGAAATAATCCCTAATCTTTATTTCCATGTAAGGTACTATGTACATATAGCCTAACAGATTATCACTGGAAGGGACTTCCCTGCTACTACTCTCTCCAACTCGACTTCGTACTTGTGATTCGTTTAAGTGTGTATTGGCACCACTGCAATGGTTAGAAGTGCTCCGCTCAATCCTATACACTAAACTCCCCATGGGCCAATTCTTCGTGACATTTTTCTCCCGCACCTCCTCATAGGAGAAATTGTAAATGCGCGAAACTATGTCCATGAAATTCTTCCACACGTACTTATGAGGGAAGAAGGTATTCACGAAATATTCGTCTGACTTGTTCATACTTTTATTGTAGTAGTAGCTCCAGTCGTGCATGGTGGGTTTGTCACGTCGCAATTCGCGTCTGTCTTGCTGCAGACTGTATCGATCGCTCGGCTGAGTGACCCCCCCAACTGACGAACTGATTAACTTGCCCATGTTAACGCTCACACGCGCATAATCCCTATCCACCTTCCCCTTGACTAAATTAAAAAAGTCCCTTAATTTTTCGTACTTGCCTTTCTCACTTGTAAAATGAGACATGGAATAGTCCACCCAATTTCTATACCCAAGCTTCGTCGCTACATCATACCTCTTCTTCAAAATTTTTATTACGTCCCTATTTAGGCTTTTGTTTTCATAAGGGCTGTTAAGAAGAGTCAACACCTTTTCCCTTAACGCAGGTTCTGTTACTCCGTTTAAAATAAATTCATAGTTGTGCTTACTAATGGGTATTTTTAGCTTATTTGTGTTAAATGCGCACTGGTGCTTCTGCTTCCATTCTTCGTCTATGTTTATTTGGTTCCTGTCTATGGTCAGGTATCTGTACGGTGCGTAGGGGCGGGAAGAGGAGGATGATGAAAAAAATGTCGAAATGGGGAATACGTAAGCGTTATATATGGGGACTCTCCCAAGAGAAAATCATCACATATACAGCAACACACTAACCTTATCTTAACTCCGTTGATTTTGTTCAAATACGCGGCGCAGTCTGTGCCCAGCTCGGCCACCAAGTGGCTAACCGATTTCTCATTTTTTATGTGGATACTATACGGAATGTATTTCTCATCGGCGCTGTCCACACCCGTGATTTGTAGACTCGTGGCAATTCTCTGCTCCACATATTCAAGAACTTTCCTGTGCAAAAATGTGATCTTCTTCAACTTTGCACATGTGATTAGGAAGTAATACAAATTTAGGCAGCTCTGTATACTGATGTGACTTTTGTTGTGGTTACCCCCTGATACGAATACACTTCGCGCACTGATGAGCTTGTCAATTTCTGTCGATATGTGAAATAAATTTATGCATGTTTTGTCTACAGGATAGTTGATCAGCTTGGAACTCTTTACGTGTTCCACAATTTCCTCATGCAGTTTTCTTTTTTCCGCCCCACATAACAGGGGCGATATTTTCGAAAGAATTAGAAAAACGCATTTATTTATAATGAACTTCCTTCCTGAGTTCATTTTCAGGGGAGCTGCTCGATTTTTTTTCTCTTTCACTTCGGTTAACTTGCTGCGTTGTTGTTAACGTTGGCTCCTAGCGCATTCTCGCACAACTAGTTTCGTCCCATTCGTTCTTAACGTCAAAGTTGCCATGAAGGATGCGGCCCCCTTATGTTCATGACAGTAGAAAGTTGTTGCAGCAAGTTTCCAAAATGAGCGACGCAGTGGTAAATAGAACTTTGTTTTTTTTTTTTTTTTTTTTTTTGCAAAATGGCTAGCTAAAAAAAAAAAAAAAAATTGTGCAAAATGGCTACCCATTGTGAGAATTTGTTTTTTTTTTTTCATTGTAGGCCTTGTTCACACAGGTGAAACACAAAGCGTGAACGGTCCTTTTTGGCGCATAGAGAAATACCAGTATGGAAAACAGTGCCCTGTGATGTGGCACACTATATCCGCAGATGTGGCAATGTTTTCATCATCACGTAAATCGAATTCGCGTAGAACTGTCCTACCGAAATATTTCAAAAAATCGGAATGAATCAACCACGGAGCTGTCTGCAAGGGGCGATATTCCATACGATCCACTTGGGCACCTTGTTGTGTTTACATGTAATCAGGCAAATCTGGTACCTTTGGAAGGGGAAAAAGGTGCCATGTATTTTGTAAAACATTGTGGAGCACTAAGCTCACTTGTTTGATTTACCCCCGTACACATCCTAAAAAGTGTTACATCCACCAAAAAAATAGAGCAAACGAACGGAGAGACTGTTCCCATAAGAACCGTAAAAAGATGTATTTCTTAACAAAAGTGAACACCTTGCGGTGGCATTTGTATTTTTCCACAAGCCCGTGTAACACTCGCGTCCAGATGAACGCACAAAAAGTGCAAAAGGTGTGTGATAGCTACATGCCCGTGTATTATGGTGATGAAAAATGTGTGCCCGATGAAAGAAACTAATTCGCTGCAGGCACAGGCTCACACGCTCATGTGCACTTATTACAAAGGGGCAGACCTATTTCTGCGATACTCATTTGACTATAGCCCGCTTTACACATTGATCGAGTTCTCACCAACAGCGTTTGTTCAGTGTAGTAACATATAATACGAGGTGGCTAAAAAGGAAGTGTGACAAAGATAAACATACGCACGAGATGTGCTTGTCATGTTCTCCAAAAACGGAAAGTTCCTTTTTGAAAGGCGAACAAAGACATGATAACTTTGCAAATCCGTTTCTAACAACTCAATCGTGTACCACCTTATCTGTTCATTTGCACCATGTTGTGTGTATTTTTTTTGTTTTTTTTTTGGAAACTTCCTTCGACGCGGCGAACTGAGACATTTCCCAAGTTGGACAATTTACACCGCTCAGAGCAGAACAAAATTGTTAACAACCCGGGGAACATCTATTTCGTTTTCTTCTGAGCTTGCACATGGTTGCATAAATTATCCCTTCCCGTTTTGTGCATTGAAGAACTAGAAAGTCAGAAATGTATAAAATTAAAAAAAAAAATTTCTTATAAACAACATATTTTTTTTTTAAATAAAATATTTTTTTTAAATGAAACATCTTTTTCAAATATAACAATTTTTTTCCCACGCAATAATTAATTCGGTGTTATTTTGTTGCGTCAGAATAGCGTCTTTTAAATGTAGAAAATGGGGGAAAAAAAAAAAAATGTGCGCACGAGTGGACGGGTGTGGACGGGTGTGCACGCATAGCAAGTGCATATAATATACACATGCGTACAACAGCAGCAACCCGGTTATGCACAGTTCGCATTAGGAAAACTGACCAGGGGTCGGGGAGAATTACCAAAGAACAGGAACCAAGAGCGGAAACTACGCCAACACTGAAAAGTGTCTTCGAACATGTTAAATGGAAAAGAAAAAAAAGAAAAAATGCAAAATAGTGTAATTTTATTTCTGACCATTCTTACGATGCGGAAGAGGGACACAATTGTCTAAAAAAAACTCACTGCACTGACGACAAAATCGAGTGGCAATAAACGCACAGCTATATTGCAAAAACGTGTGACACTGGAAGAAGTAGGGGGCAGGCGGACTCGGAGTACACATCGCACACGTGGCAGACTAAGCAATTGTGCCAACCCTGTCGACGTCGCACCCCAGACGACCGTTTAGCCGCGTTAAGGAAACAAATGAAAAGCAGAACGCAGCATAATATAACCTAGCACAACACAGCGCAACGCTTCCATCATTACAAGATTGTCTATGGACAGACTCATATGCTCCCTTATTTGTTCTATCTACCCAATCTGCGTGGAAGAAATGACGTTATTATAATTCCTGTCCTAGTATTTAATGTGTTTTTTTTTTTCTTTTTTGTTTATCGTGTCAATGCTGTGTAGTTGTCCTACTCTCATATCATCACTGCGTCGCTACCGAACGAGCCGCCTCCTTTTTATGAGCCTTCAATACAAAGCTACTACATTTTGATGAGGCCATCTTGATCATTGAAGAGCAGTAATACACCAAGTAGAGTCATTTGACACATTATATCACCTGACGTGTTATTTTTATTTTTTTTATATTTTTTACAAAACGCTTCTGCAAAATTTGTCACATGTAGGGGCACTATACCGTAGGACGATATATAAAGTTTACGCCAAATTAGTGCACTACACTCCATTTGACCTAGTTACGTTTTGTCATACGTTTCCCTTCCTGTGGAAAGGACGCGGCATGCAGAAGGACAGATTAGCTAAGCGGTGACGCCGTGATGCGAAAAATCAACGCAACGATTAAGTGATGCAAACAAATCGACGTGTCTGTTCCGCGACGCGACAAGTGAACAAGGGGATGACGGCAACACCCCCTGGGACCAAGCATTCCGACAAGGACGTCTACCCCACCCCTCCTCAGTGACACCCCCCTCCAAAAAAAAAAAAAAAAAAAAAAAAAAAAAAAACATGAACGATAATAGCGAGCACCTACTACTATTCTATGATGCGTACAAAGATAACAGAAACAAATGGGGAATCGGATTGAATAAACTAAACATTCATATAGACAATTACAAAACAAGCAAAACCAAATTATTCTTATATGCATTGTGGAACATCCTCATTTTTATATATATGCTTGAGTTTTGCGTGAACCTATTTTTTCATCTTTCTGTGTCACATGGTAATCTCGTGAGCAACAGTATTATTTCCTTTTCTCTGTTGGATTCCATTTTAGTTATCCTGCTGACAAGCCAAGGAGTACATGCGTACTCGAATGACAAATCAACAGAACTACACACGTGCGCAAAATATTTCCATGTCTTGAGCATTTGGTGCTCCGTCAAGCTGCTGGTCTATGTGTTTATCGCCATACTGTCCTTTGCGCTTCTTCCTAGTGACAAGCTCAACCACCTTTTTTATTTTTATGGAACCAAGGGCGTTTACTTTAACTACTTCATAGAGATTGTTATAACTGTGAACGTGATCAAGTCCGTGTTAACGTTCTTCACTGGTAAGCGGCCTTCGCAGTGTGTTGCCCTTCCTGCATTTCACGTTGTGCTGTGTAGCTTACTCCAATTACACACCTTCCCCCTCCGCAGGACAAAAACTCCAGTACATCTTGAGCTGCATCAGGACGTCCACCATCCTAAAGAGCAAAATTCGAAAAGACCTCGAGAAGCAGTCCTTCCTATTTGAAGACCACACCTATGGCACATTCATGACTGACATGCGCGAGTGAACCATGTTGTCACCGAGTGATTAAGCCCACTGGGAAGAAGAAACCGCTTGACCATCTCAACATTGTTGATGTGCTGCTTCCCCCTTTGTGCTGTTCACACTTTTTTTTTTTTTTTTTCTTCTCTATGTTGTCACCCTCACCCCCTTCATCATACCTTGAGTGTCCTACCATTTGGCTCGTTCCACCTGATGGGTGAAATTGGCTTGTCCGTGCTCTGCATACACGTGGGCACGGGCACACACAACTTTTTCTGCCCTACTTAGATTTTATGTTTTATAATGTATATCCAAGTTGCTACCTTTTTCTCCCTTCCCCCTGTACACGCCTCTTCCCCGTCTTTACATTTCTGGGGGCAACGCTGTACACGTCACATTTCTGCATGCGCTTTTATTAACTCCCGCTTTGTTCACATACAGTTGGGCCCATTGCTCACAGCACTTCTCCTCTTTTTCATGTTTTTAATTTTTGGCCTCTTATAAAAATTACCTAATTTTTTAATTGAAATTTATTTGCCCTATTTTAAAATGCCTCTTTTGCATGACGGCCTATTCGTCGCCGCGAGCGCATGTGTGCCCGTGCCAAGGATAAGGCGACTGGTCACATTTCCTTTTTCCTCATTCAGGGGAACGCTTAGTTGGAAGCCCCACCCATGGCGCGTTCCTTCGTCAAAAGGGGGTGTGTACTAGTGTATCTTCGCCGTTCCGGGGAGCACCAAGTTCGTGCAAACAAAATGAATTAAAACGGAATAAAATGAAATCAGTATGAATATACATATGTGTGTAAAGAAGCAGCATGCGTAAGCCGCCTCCCCCCCCTTTACCCCCCCAAATGGCAGCCATGTGGACGAGACGCTTCTTCAGTTAATTCGACTTAGTCGCCGTTACATCAGAAGGTACGACGCCCAAGCGTACATATTACATCCCACTCCTCTGCTACCCATTTTTTGGAACCACCAACTGTTCGCGGAAGGGTCTCTCTCATTCGAGTGGGTAAAAATTACCACACGGTTGTGCAAAAACAAAACTGTATGCTTAAATAAAAGATGGAAATGAGTTACGAAGACCCCATCACAGCCCTACATGGATAGTAGTCTAGGTAGTGAGCTGTGCATATTCAAACAAAATGGCCATTTACGCGCTAGCAAGTCTTCTCCTACTTCTAATCCACACGCACCTTCACGGGTCCCTTTCCATCAAAGTGGTTCCACATGGAGACACAAAAATGAGTCCACGAATGACGTGGAAACGTTCCCGTAGGGTGCCCACCCCCCAGTATATAACAACCCCACTGAACAAAAGGCAGGTACGAAATGAAAACGAAAAGAGTGTTAGACGCAGCGCGAGGAGTATAAAGGTACAAATGATTTTAGCGCCAAAAGGATCGATGCACGAAAAAAAGACAAAAGAAATTTTGGAAGACCCACTTAAAAACTACCCATGGGAAATCAGCATCCCCTTTCACGAAACAATAACAAAAGAACTTAGTCCATATTATAATTTTTTAAAATGTGAATGGGCCTATGTAGATCACAAAAAGGACGTAAGGAGACCATGTGGGAAAATTGAAGGAGGGCTAGACAATTACCATGGGAAAGGATTGAAATTAGAAAAAGGAGTAGACAGACCAAGGTATAATAAAATGGCATATTACGATGACCATGGAGTAGAATGGAGAAATATAAACCAAGAAGAATTAATAAGATTTGATTTCCTTCCAGATGGTAACCAAGATCAAACATTTCTTGAATCGGAAGAAGATTTAGAATATCGCCAATGGGGTAATTGGAATTACAACGCGTCTAAGGAGACTACACAATTGAACTCTGCTTGGAGAGATCCTGTATTGTCTAGGAGTTTAACAAATTTAATTTACCCATGGAATCATAAGGCACATGAAAATCATATTATACCTTACGGATATACGTCTCCTGCTTTGTTTATACCTGAACCCAAAATCGAATGGGAACTCGCTGCTAGGGGATTTTTCGCAGGCTATTATGAAGATCCAAATTGGTCACGCATCAAATATTATAGGCAAACCAAAAAGCTAATTCTTCAATGGCATGATGAAAGTAATAATAAAAATGGTGAAAAGGATACCCGCATAATGGATAAAATAAAAATGGAACTATTCGGTTTGTCAGCAAAAAGAAGATACCCATCTAAGCAGATTAAACTTATAAATGAACATGCATTATTAAGAGCTAAAGAAATTGTCCTGGATCATTTATTGAATCCAAGTGGAGACCCAGATTATATAACTTACTTCCTCGACAGACATGAACCCATAGATTATATTGGAGGCGGAAAACATAACTGTTCTGAAGAAGAAATTAAAAATAAAACGGTCGTACTTAATATGTGTGTTTATCCTGTTAAACAAAGACATGAAACTTATTCAAGAAATATGTCCATCTCGGAGATGGCTGAAATGTACCATTACTACATGACAGAAATTAGGGGAGAAGGTAGGTCTCATCAGTCAAGTGAAGATCCAGTGGAGGATAGGTACCAATGCTATGAGTTGCAAAAACAGAGGAACAAATTCCCTGCTTTGGTATCCCTATATAAGCCACTCTGGACCAATAAAAAATTCGGAGATGAATTTGGGGATGCTCTGCAAGAGGGCCAGAAAATACGCATCGACCAGCTACGCACCTTCAACAGAAAACTCAAAGTTAGAAGAAAAACCAAGCTGACCCCAGAGGAGAGAGAAGCCTACAACTACGTCGACGACTACAGCCATGTCGACGACCAGTACGAGTTTTAGTTTGTCAAGCGCAGCGTCGGGATGTTGCGCGTCGCCTTACGCGTCACGTATGCGTAACTTCCTGACCCGCTTCTATTTTTTTTTGTGCCGTTCTAATATGCAGGAGGGGGACGCAATGGGGACCCCCATCCGTTCACGCAAGATTAAAACTTTTTTTTTTTTTTTAAAAAACAACTTCATTTGGGAACCTTCCGAGAAGGCCATTTATAGGAAAAGTGCCAGTATATCGATGGTGGTGGTATTGTTAGCTCTTCGCTCAACAGAGGCAGTGTGTACCATCTGCGCCTCACAAAAAAAAAAAAAAAAAATGCTTGTGACGAAATGGAAGACCAATTGAAAGACAGAGTAGTACATTGCAAACAGGGCGATTCTCACCTTTTTTGGTGACATTAAAAATGGTAGGAGGCGGGATAGGGGAAAAAAAAAAAAAAAAATATATATTTCACAAAATGACCATGAACATTATGCTTCGCTGCCTAACTAATGCAATAGTGCCATAGCAATGAGGAAATCCCTTCCCTCGCGCCCTGTGGGCACCCGTCACTAAATGTTCTGAAACGCGCCGAAGCTGCACACGTAGGAACAGAGCTTCTCCGTTTCTATTTCCTCCTGGAATATTGGGAGCCCCTTTTGAATGACGAAAATGAAGTTGCCCCTGAATTCGATTGCTTCTTCAATGGGGGCATAGTGCAGCTGCGAAAAAAGGGGCGGGGGGGGGATAAGTGAACATAAGCGCAGGTGTACTAAAGTAAAAGAAAAAGTGACCTCCACATATATATTAGAGGTGGAGGCAACGAAATGGGGACCCCACCCCCAAACGCGCTGCACACTTTCGTCGACGCGATTTATACACATGAGTGTCTGTATGAGCGCAGCGTACTTTTTGGGTGACGCCCCTTCCACCCTCTCCCGTTACCTTCTTCTGTTTGGAATCAAAAAAAATGACGTCCAGTTTGGGAGGGGGTTCAGCATTGAAAGCAGGTAACAAGTATAAAACGCCATTGAATTTTTTTTTCATTTTTATAAAATTAATTACACATTCGTAGTATGGCTTTAAATCATTCACGTAGCTACTCTGCATTATTTTTGCAACATCTTTGAGTAATATTTGCTTCATATTATTCTTCACAAAATAAAAATCTGGGATTGTACTTGAGGATATATACGCTAATACTCCTCTTCCTTTTATGGGCTGCTTGGAATAATGTAATTCTACCTGTCCGTTGTTTTCATCACTGTATATTAAATAGACTCCCTCCTTTACTGGTACGGATGTTGATTTGACTTCCGGTGGGGGTCCTACACAGGCTGAGGCTGCAGGGGGGGGAGGCGCTGATGCTGCTCCAAGGAAACTAAACTTGGGTTTTTTCTTCTGCAGCAATTTTGGTTTCATATCTTTTATGATTAGACGGGCACCTGTTTTTGCTTGTGCCTTTGGTTTGTCCACTTCTCCTACTTTTTTTTTTTCCCCCTCTTCATCTGTCTTTCCTTCTGCGGCTGCTTCGAGTAGACGCTTCATTATGTCTTCTTCCTCCATCATACTCAGTCGTTCCCGTTGCCTCTCTTCCTCTTGTTCCTTTTTCCTTTTTTCTTTCTCTTCCTTTTCCCTGCCTATTTCATCCTCTAAAATTAGCTCATTCATCATATCATCGTCATTGCTTCCACAGCAGAGACATAGGAAGCACCCTCCCCCTTCTCTCTTAATCCTTTCCCTCTTCGCAGCTTCCATTTGTTCCCTAACAAGTACATGGTTTGAGGAATTTTTTTCCGGGTTCTTATTCACCCCCGGATGGTTATCCTTTTGGTGAGGCCCTTCTCCATGTCGCCTCTGCCGTGGCGATTGCGCAGATGTGGTAGACTTCCAAGACTCTTCGCTCGTTTTGATCGGCTTGGCACCACTGCGCGGCCTGCTTTGTCCGTTTTGCCCGCTTTTCCCACTTTGCTTGCTTTTCTTCATTGGGGCGCTCCGCTTCTCCTTTTCCTGCCGCTGAGGCGCCTTGGACGGCGCCAAACCGGCTTCCCCCTTCTTGTGCGCCGCACCAGAATTTTTCGATGACCTCCTCATTTGGCCAGGTCCAATGTAGGCGTGCGTCCCACAAGAGGAGGCCACAATTCTGCGTCTAATCAGATGCAACCTTATGCAACTACGTAGCAAGTATTCCTAACGGAAAAAAAAAAAAAAAAAAAAAAAAAAAACATTCCAAAACAACCCCTATGTTAGCTGTAACAACGGGCTTGCACCTTTGTACAGCTAGCTTACCCTTTGGGAAAAAAAAAAAAAAAAACAAAAAAAATTAGCATGTCGCACCAGCACAGTAGATAAATTTCCCCCTACTCTATTCCACAGAAGTAAAAATGTGTAGACTTGTATGGAAATCCTCAAAGTGCATGAATGGACAATTAGGGATGCTCAAAATTGGGCATAGAAAAAAAAAAAAAAAAAAAAAAAAGGAAAAAACAAAATTCGGTGTGTGTACTTGGGCCATACTACACTTGTGGACGCACAAAAATGAGGCCTTCTATTAAAGAAACTCATAAATGGGAAGATTGAATTTTTGCATCCTGAACATGTGCTAAGTGGAAGGCGGCTATAAGAGAGAGCAACACTGGGCAGAAGATCACATGAACGCATTATAAGCATGCTTACACCGCCGCACAGACACGTGGACAACGTCGCGATGCACAAAAAAGGAACGCGTACTCATGAGGCGCTTGGGACGTACCACTCAAAAGTGTTGTCTTTGTTGCGCTCAGCATAGAATTAAAAAAAAAAAAAAAAAAAAAAAAATATTTGCCCTTCCGCAACTTGTACTCTGTCTTGCAAATTACAACTACATGCTGCACGCAGAGTCACATTTAAAAAAAAAAGTCCACACCATAATGGATATCCCCGTCCATTGGCAAAAAATTTTATTAACCAAGTAAGCGAATTTTACTTGTGTGTGTAATTGTCAGATCGGTAGACATGCTCACAGTGAGAAGTAGACCGTCTTATACGCTTCGAATGAATATACGCGTTCCTGTTTCGAGGTGCACACTGGGATGGCAACACCGCTTCAACAATTCCACAACGGCGTTCCACTATGCTGCACGGGGGTGGTCCCACAGGGGAGGGTTTATTTAAAAGAACCTCAAAAAGGGAGCAAGCGTTGCATAGGGTAACCGTAACAACCATCAGCCCACTCTACCTCCACGTCCTCCCATAGCTACTCCATTCCTTAAACTATTTCCAAAATGGAAGATTTAAGTGCATGTTACCACGAACATGTTAATTTTTTTTTTTTTTTTTTTTTCACGTGTACATACACACATTGGGAGGACACCCTACGTCCTTACCCAATGGAGGCAATTTTTATGAAACTGTGCCAACTTGTATGCTGGACCATGTGCCATAAAAAAAAAAAAAAAAGTTGCGGAGTTAACCCATTACTTCTTTGCAACAAGATCATCTTCATGCTAGAATATATAACGAAAAATAAGTTGCTCAACTTAGCATGAATGAGAATGACCACCTGAATAGCTGTTCTAACGACATCAGTTTGGAGTTTTTTTTTTTTTTTTTTTTTTCCGTTGAGGGGTTGTCTAAAGGGATAACAGCTTGTCCCCTTTCTGTCTAATGGGATCTTTCCAATTACAAGTAGCAAATGGTATGGCGTTCTTCATGCCAACTGTGCTGCATATCTGTGCAAGGATTTGTTTATCACAGGACAGGACACACTAGTGGTAACCATACACCCATTTTTTTTACTTTAAAGGAGTGAAAAAAAATAAAAATAAAAAAAGTTGTACATTTTACGGTACACACAAACGCCCCTACATATAGGGATCTGCATTTTGGCCTAACATGTTCTCAATTATGAGGCAGCAATAAAAAGACTTATAATCCCCCTAATGGGTGCACTGCTCGCTTCGTTATGCACACCATCAGCAAAAAAAAAAAAAATTAGCGACATGCCAGTTGCTATGCCGTTATTTCATCTTCCAGGTACACGTCTTCAAAAGAAAATGCCTCCTTTAGTTGTTTGGACCAGGCTGCGGAGGGAGCGGGGCGTGGCAAACATCATCACGCGCATAGAAGCATGCCCACGTGCGAATATACGGATGTAAGAATACGCACACAGCACCATGCAATCGCGCGAGCGCGCAAAACGTACTCGATTCGTAGTCAAAGGACAGGTAGGTTCCTTGCTCCGTTTTGTCACTCAACATGCGAATGTTCTTATCGCACGGCAGAAACCAAGTTGTGTATTTCTTGTGATACTTCCAAGACTTTTTCTTCAGTTCCTTCGCCGCCAGGTGTTGCTGGTAGGTTCCCTGAGTGGGGGGTACGCGGTAGGTATGTATAGGCAGGCGGACGCGCACAAAGGGAGCGCCGCCGCAACGCAGACACATTGCGCGCATGCGACTTGTCCCTATTTGGGGCCACTCACCGGTTGGTAGTAAAATATAAAAAAGAGCGTGTCCAGGGGAAGCTTCTCGAACAGCTGAGGGCTATGAGGGGAAGGGTATATCCGCATGCATGTAAATAATTTACATATACATCCCTACATGCACAAATGTGTAGTGTACGAAGTGGGGCAGAGGATGGTTACACGAGACAAACCATAGCAACCATCACAGGGTGGACCTGCCCCCTCCTGGCACGCACCTTTGAAAATCAGAAAGAGGTGTTGATGGAAAATACTCGCAAGGGTTCCCACACATTACCCGTGGGGTGTACTGGCGGAAATGATCCCTGTCGCTTTTCTTTATACAATTTGTGTAGCTATTCTCAAGAAGCTCTTGCAATTTAAGCGCTAGCAAGGGGGGCGAAAAGGGAAAAAGAAATGAATTTTACAAACAGGTGTGCCAATCTGTGTGACAAAATAAAGTGTAGAGGGGGGAAGAAACCGCCTTGCACAAATGCACGTAGCAGTTTTCTTTTGGGGGAAAATCTCAAAACAGCGACAGGGTTTTCTTCCTCCGTGTGGACCTCTTAGGAGCGGGGGGGCTGTTTCCTGCTACGCACCCCGTACAAAAGTTCCTTCATTTTCGAAAGAACGAAAAGATCGAACAACGCTTCCCCCCTCAGCTAATGCCATCTCATGTGTGTATGCATGACCAAATGATTACTAGCAAAACTACACAAATAACACACAACGGTTAAATGTATTTTTGTGGGGGGGGGGGGAATTTTTTTTTTTTTTTTTTCTGGGGCCATTACTGTTCCGCTCAAGTAGCCTCTGAGCCGACATAGACAAATTCTCATCGCTGATTCTTTTTCTCTGTCCATCCCCCTTCATCAAATTGGCCGGACTTTGGTCTTCCATCGCTTTTCCCTTTATGAGTCTAGTTGATACCTTGTCCAAGAGGAAATTATATTTTTCCCCTTTTTCGATTACACAAAAAAGGTATCAACGTTATGCAAAACGGACTCTCTACTCATTCACCCTTCTCCGTTCGTGTGCTATTGAAAAGTGCCCCTTTTGCAAAAAAACATCAACTCCCAATGGAGGCAAAAAAATAAAACAAAAAATAAGAGGGGAAAATGTAAAGAATTCAGTTTGGGGAAAAAAAAAAAAAAATTATAAAAGTAGGTCAAGTCACCTATGGGGTAATAAAAAAACTGTTTGGAAAATTCCAAATGAACTAATCAGGTGGGAAAAAAAAAAAAAAAAAAAAAAAAGTGTACAAGGGACATGTCAAAGCGGTTATCTTGCGAAGAAGTTACATAAACCACGGAAGACGGTACCTACACCAAATTAAACGCAGTGTGCACGGGAGTAGGTTGAAGCAGGAACAAAAAAAAAAGGGCTATACGACAACGGCAACAACATGGGTAAGGACATCGGTATGGTCATACGTAGCGGTGGTATAACGGTCAGACAAAATCCATGTTACGTGAAAAATAAATATATGTACAAAACGTTTTGAAAGCACCCTCACATATATGCAATATGGAAGAAAAAAAAAAAAAAAAAGAAAGAACAAATAAGAATGTGCTTCGTAAGAACAGCACCAACACCAGTACGGGGAATAATTTCCCATGCAATTTTAAGAACCAAAAATATACCCCTTTTCAGCACGTTCTTAATTAGCGCGTTGTGGTTATTTTGCTCCCGTCCACCGATGAGGAAGAGCACGATATTCTACCCAACGGGGGTCTAAACAGAAAAAAATTGAGAGACCCAGTGAGAGAAACTACACGAAATGCTCAGTGTGTAATTTGTACTGGGGAATTATGCTGGTCCATAAACTATAAAGGACGCCCCCCTTTGCATGTGGTGACCCACACCTAAACTGTAAGAATTATTTTTCCCGTTCATTTTTATGCATACATGGAGGGAACCGCGCACAGCCATAGTAACCCAACCAGAATGATTAAAAAAAAAAAAAACTCTAAAAGGACACCTGTCCTTTGCATTTAACGTGGCAAATACGAACTAGCGGACAAAAATTATAAGGCAGGCAAGTACTCGCAGGGGGTACCATTTGGGTGTACCACCCCCCTCACAAGGGCATAACAGAAGGGTATTGCTAATACGGCTAACATGGTTTAAACGGCTCGTAACGCCCATAGTTTCCGTTAGTTGCGTGGCCCCCCTGGAGCCCTTCCTTCGGAACACCGTCCTCATGGCACTGGGTACCTTTAACTCTCCCCCCAACTCGCCACACAATGCGAGGCGTCCCCTCCGTTGGCACATGTCTCCCTTCAGACGCATTCCTTCCTGTTAGCCTCTTTTTTTTTTTTTTCCAAAATGAACTTAATAAGAAAAAAAATATGCATATGGTTTATCCTTTTGATGAATTAAAAAGTGTGAGTTGAATATGTAAGCGTGTGTAAGCGTATATATATATTATTATTAGTGAATATAAGTAAATGTATATATATATATATATATATATATATATATATATATATATATATATATTTGTGGGTGAGGTACATATGTGTGTATTTGTATGTATATGCGTGTGGGGGGGGTTGTGTGTCCGTTTATCGGAATGTTTTTTTTTTTTTTTTTTTTTTAAATGTTGCACAGGTGTGTTGTGGTATGTGTACAAATAAAGTAAACGCTTTAAGATCAATCAAATTAAAAAGCTTTCACGATGAGGTGGGGGGGAAAAAAAAATAAAATTAGTTAAACATGCCAGGTGTGTTAACGGTGAAGGGAAAACATGAAAAATGAAAGGAGGCTGCAACAATAAAAATAACAATACATACACATGTATATATATATAGGCACACACGTGGGAGGCCAAAAATAAATACAAAAAAACATAAATGTGGGTAAGCAATTCTTCCAATTTTTTTTTTTTTTTTTTTTTTTTTTGGCGTGTATATATATATATATATGTATAAATAAAACTCTCAACAATTTCCTTGGCGTTTCGATCTTGACATTTTTACTACTTTCTCGATATCCCCTTGGGCTTGAAATGTTTTTTTCGCACGCACGTCAATGTGTTTGGCATGGGTACAACTTGTGTGCGCCAGCGGCCCTCGCCACGTCGCCATCGGCATGTGTATGAGCACAGTTTACTTATACATCGGTGCGCAACAGGACGCGTGAATGACGCGGCGTAATTACTCCAAAAAAAAAAAAAAAAAAAAAAAAATGTACGGCATGTCTGCACCAGTTTTTTTTTTTTTTTTTTTTTTTTTGACCCTTCTGTTCAGCCCGTTTTCTTACGTTCTGTTCAATAATTCAAAGTGCAGTTGTCACTATATACATGCTTGTCTAGTTCTCCAACGGCACATGCATGTTTCTTTTGTCACTTATAAAAACCGCTACATGTTTTCTCTGCATCCTCCACATGCTCCACTTAACTTGGGACAAAATCTGGGTGCTTCTTCAGAATGATCGTTATTTTCGGAATCCTCCTGTTGATTCGATCGGAGCTAAAGTAGGCCGTTTCAATTTTTATGATTTGTCCTACGGGTGGTTGTAGAATGGTATGCAACGCAGTGAGGTGACCAGTCAGATGTGCAGGATTGAAATGAACAAAGGGAAACACTCCCACATGTAGAAACATGTACACGTCATTTACACTTACCTATGTCTTCCTTTTCCATTATGGACGCTGCACCAATTGCAATTTTGGTGGCGCTCCCCAAGCCAGTTATTATGACTTCATCGAATGGGCTCTTTTCCTCATTTCCCGTAAACATTCTTTTTCCGATACGAGCATAGAACGTTGGCTTCTTAGTCATGGAGACCTACAAAGGGAGGGGGTAGAAGAAGCAACAGGGTGTTATACAGAAGTCCGCGTACATGTGCGTGTGGGCGGCAGGCGGTAGCTTCGCCTTCTGAATGGACGCGATTGTGTTGGACAAAAATGCGATGCGTGTGACAGGGGGGGAGCGGGAAGCATCTATCGCATGTGCAAGCATATATGTACGTGGAGCAGCGCGCGCATGCACTAACATTAATGAGAGCACACGAAATACTAATCGTGGAAAAAAAAAAAGAACAAATCAGACAGAGTAACACAAAACATTATCGAACAAGCACAAAAATGCGGAAAGTTTCCACGCCACTGAAAATTCGCCTTTACGTTTATAACATTTGAAGAACGTCCAACCCAATTTTACGCAGCGACATAAGATTGAATGAAAAAGGGCAAAACATGAATGAGTCATAAACGCGCGTTTCGTGAATGCAACAACGGGGAGTACCGCTGAAATATATTTTTTTTCAAATAATTGCGCCAAGGAGAATGCAAAAAGGAGGTACATTCAGGTCTGCAATTGGGTCTACATATTGGGGTTCGTTCATTTCGATCATGATAACTGCTCTCCCTGTGCTGTCCCGTTATTCATTCTCCACGGTTTGGCTGAGTCATATACATGCATATTTGCAATTTTTGTCGCGTCATGCATTTCCCCCCTCTGATCTACGTCTCACGGGCGCCGTAATTACCTGGATCGAGTTCTCGGCCCGTTCCTGTGAGTGTTCCTCTGTGCTTCCCATTTTGTATAAAAATAGCGGAGTGGTTGCTGAATGAGGCAAATACAAAACAACGCTTTTGCGTGGCTCTACGGGGTGTGATGTACACTTCAGGCGGTTCTAAAGAGCATATGCAGGTGGCATCTACATGTATGCATGCACTGCTTAAACGGCTTTAATCTTATGTGCAAACTGCAGGAGGTCAACACGTGCGCGCATAGGGTATATAAATATATGTAAGCTCTAGCATATATGTATGGGGGATGTACGTAGATATTACGTGGAGATGACGTATCAAAAGGGGCGCAGAGCTTTATTTATATATATAAACGCAAAAAAAAAAAAAAAAAAAAGAAATTTTACATGTATAAAAAAAAAAATATAAATGATATGAATCAATTTAGGTATAAATAATAAAAAAGAAAAAAAAAAAAAAAAAAAAAAAAAGGGGGGGGG